GAATCATCTTCATCTCTGCCAACTTTCATTCACCTCTCCCTTTTTTAAATGGAAGGATGGATCAAAAGAATGAAGAATCAGGTAAATGAGTGAATGAATGAATGAATGAATGAATGAATGAATGAAAGGATGACTGAATGAGCTCACATCTAACCTTACATGCTGTCCTCAAGCATGTTATGGTATTCTCTTTGGCACTTTTAAGTCATCTCCCCGGTAATATTATAAGCTACCTGCAGGAAAGTACTATTGTTTTTTATTTCTTTTATGACTCGGGTCACAGAACTGGGCCACCATTGGCCTTTTTGAGAATAGTCTGTGCATCAATCAATGTGAAGTCATGGATATAACACTAAGTTTGAATTCAGGATACTAATCCTCCCCCACAGCTCTCTGGAAGATGTTAGATCAGTTTTAGGCTTTGTGGGCCTTAGTTTTCTAATCTGTGAAGTGAAGGGATTGGGCTGAGAGAGTAGGCTCTGAGCTTTCCCCTACCTACCATCTAGGTAACCTTGGGCAAGTTGCATGATTTCCCCAAGCAAACAGGAAGAACCATTTCTACCTCGTGAGCTGTTTTAAAGACTTAATGATAATGATATACATCAGGTGCTAAGCCCATAGTTAATAATTATATCCTCTAAATTCTTGTCCAGATGCTGACACAGACTATCCACTCAAGATGCTGTATTAGAGAAGGAACTTTGCAAAATGGTAGAACACTGTCTCTTCCGTTAAGATTTTTACATGCTATGTAAATTATCTTTAAAGAAATGCAAGGCCAATGAGCACATGAAAAGATGTTCTGCATCACTAAACATTAGGGACAAGTCAAAACCACAAAGAGATACCACTTCACACTTACTCGGATGGCCTTAAAAAGGAATGAATGTCTAGTATCATATGATCTCACTGATATGAGGAATTCTTAATCTCAGGAAACAAACTGGGTTGCTGGAGTGGTGGGGGGCGGGAGGGATGGGGTGGCTGGGTGATAAACATTGGGAAGGTTATGTGCTATGGTAAGCACTGTGAATTGTGTAAGGCTGATGAATCAGAGAACTGTACCTCTGAAACAATATATGTTAAAAAAAAGAAGAAGAAAAAGAAGATGGTAGGAAGGGAAAAATGAAGGGGGAGAAATCAGAGGGGGAAACAAACCATGATAGACTATGGACTCTGAGAAACAAATTGAGGGTTTTGGGGGGGGGGGGGGGGGGGGATGGGTTAGCCCCATGATGGGTATTGAGGGCACGTGTTGAATGGATCACTGGGTGTTATATGCAAACAATGAATCATGGAACACTGCATCAAAAACTAATGATGTAATGTATGGTGACATAACATAATAAAATAAAATTTAAAAAATTAAAAAAGGAATGAATGTTTGACATGTGCCTTGAGGACATTATGCTAAAAGAATTCTTCCAGTCGCAAAAAGACATCCTATGATTACACTTTTAGGATGCACCTAGAGTAGTAAAATTCACAGAGAAGGAAAGTAAAATGGTGCCTATCAGAGAGTTGCGGGATGGGGGGGTGGAATGGGAAGTTATTGTTCAATGGTTAGAGTTTCAGCTTGGGGAGATGAGAAAGTTTTAGAGATGGGTGGTGGTGACGGTTGTACAACAATGTGAGTGTACTTAATGTTTTAAAGAAATGTAAAACCAAAATTAGTTTCCTTTGGGTGTAATTTTTTGCCAGGTGAAGGAGGCCCAGAGCTCCAGTGGCTCCTGGAGCTGAGAGTACAGATCATGCTGCCATGCTTTGTGCTGAAACCCTAAAAACAGACTCAGCTTGGCCCTTTAATGCCGGTCCCACCATAGAGAAAGCTTTTCAGCAGGAGCCATGAACAGGCGCATTGTGAAGTCAGGCAGACCTTTTCTATGGAAATCAGCATTTATTTGAAGGCTTTAGTGCCGGATTTAGCTCACCCAGAGGTGACCTTCTACACAGGGCCAAAAGAAAAGTGATTTCTTTGATAGTCCATTTGACCCCAAACTGACCTCCTGCGCTTTTCAATTCATTTTAAATCATGCTGTTCTGGCCAAAGCAATCCCAACTCCTAGCAGAGAATATTTCACATTTTTACCAACAATTCTGGGCCAATTTCAGATCTGTTCACTCGAATAGCAAGAACAAACTCTGAGAGTTCTTTCTGAGTCTTTCTGATCTTAAGCAGCAGGGAGGAAAGTTGAGGGAAATATTCATAAATGGCATGGATTTTTGGGGGGGAGATGTGAATTGGAAACTCCTCCTTGCTTAGATATGACCTAATCCTCATATGCGCCACCTCTAAGGTAGGGAAGACAGGTGACTCCCAAGGCAGGGACCCAGATTCTCTTTCCCTTGAGTCAGAATCAACAATGTCCCAGGAAGGAAGACATCACTGTCCTCTGCACTGTTTATGATATTGTGGGTTGTAAGTAACAGTAAGTCAACTCAAGCTGGCTTGAACAATAAGGAAAATGCATCTTCTGGCACAATAAGAGGTGGAGTGAGGGCAGAGTTGGTAAGCCAGCAGATCAATGTTATAAACAAGGACCCATCTCTCCACTTCCTCTGTGGTCATAAGAGAGCTGCCACAGCTTCAGACACCAAATACACACCAGGCAATGGGAAAGAATGCTTTCCAGAAGCTGCCCCCCCAAGCCCCAGCTGACTTCCCTCTCACATCTCATTGAACTGAATTGTATCACACACAAATACCTAAACCAGGAGTGATCAAATTTTCTGTAAAGGGCCAGGTTAGTAAATATCACTGGCTTTGAAGACATGCTTTTGGTTGCAAAAACTCAGCTCTGCCATTGGAATGTGAAAGCAGCCATAGGTAATGCATTAACAAATGAGAATGGCTATGTTCCAATAAAACTTTCTTTATAAAGACAGGTGGCTTGCTGGATTTGGCCTACAGGCTATGGTTTGCTCACCCCTGTTTCAGATCAACCATTTCACAATTAGCTTCAGGACACAACTAACTGGGAAACATGACACAGGCAATTTGTTATTAATTTATAATAATAATATTTGTAAGTGGTTTATTCTCTGCTGGCACCCAAGAAAGGATATTCAAGAGGTTCTAATTCATAGAAGATCACTCAATAGGTAGGCAGATGAACAGAGCACAGTAGAACTGGGCCACCAAAATAAAGTGAGAACAAGATTTCAAAGAAGTTCTTATGTGCAAAGAGCATCAAAGGAGGCACTGTGGAAGACTCAGAACTTGGTTAAACTTTGTTCAACTTATTTTACAAATAGAACCTTTACCAGAAATGTTTTAATTATATTTAGGGTTCACTGTAATTCCCCTAAGAGTTTAAATTCCACTCTTCAGAAAGTGTTTTCATAACCTCCTTTTTTTTCCTCCCATAGTTAAGTCAGGACTGGAAAGAACCTTAGCACTCAGTCCAAACCCCAAATTTTACAGATGAGGGAATGGAGGCTCAGAGGGCAAGCTAATTTCCCCAGATCACACAGCTACCCAGTGGCAAAACCAAGACCCAAATTCAGGCTGTGGTAGGTTGTAGTGTTATTCAAAATACCTGCTCCCCCTCCCAAGAGGTGGATTATACAGCTTCCTGCAGGGACAAATTCCACCATATGTTTGTGGTGCCCCTCCTTACTGTTGAGCTCAGGAGTGGCCATGTGACTTGCTTTGCCAGTGGGACATGGGTGAAATGGCACGAGTCACTTCTGATTGTCATGCGTGTCTGCCCTCTGCCACAAAACTGGTGATGTGCTAGGCAGAGGCTGCCCTGGCAGCCTGGGCCACAGAGAGAAGAGGATAAAAAGCACAGGCACAGCTGACTGGGATTGACATGTCCCACAAATCGGGCATATACCCCTGAGATCTGGGGCTGTTTGTTACCACAGCACAACTGAGTCTATGCTGACAAATACATGGGCTGTACAACACTAAACGCTGAGCTCCTTCTCACTTGGAGAACCTCAGGTTCCAGGCAGTATTAAATGGACTGAAGAACACACATTTTAGAGTCAGCCTGCCTGGGTTGAGATTTCACTAGCTGTGTGACATTGGTCATGTTACTCTCTGGCCCTCAGTATCTTCATCTGTAATATAACACTGGTGCCTACCCCCTGGGGATACGGTGAGGATTCAATAACTAATCCTGTGTTTTGAGGACTCCTGGGCTAAATGTTGGTTGCTATTATTCAGCATAGTTTCTCCCTGGAAACAGTTCAGCAATAGTAAGTTGTGGGTGGTGGGGGGCTCACTAAGACTACTTCGTGTCATTACACATGAAAACAACAGCCATCCTTCCAGAAGTCACTCTCCCCAGTGTGCAGTGCTGACAGTCATCACTGTCCCTGCTATAGGCTGAGGGGAAGGGACATGAGAGGCTGTTGCAGAGGGGTTAGGAGCAGGGCTCCCAGGGTCAGCCTGATTAGGGTTCAAATACTATCTCTGTCTCTCCTTCCTGTGCCTCTGTAGCTAAATTATTAACCTCACACACTCATGCTACTCATTCTTGAGTGCTCATGTGTGCCAGGCATGTTTGGAAGGATGGGGAGAGGTATGTGACTAAGACTAAGAAGGGGAGGTGTACAGGAGATATCAAACAGAAGCTTATGTTGGCCATGGCTGCCCTGTGCCACATCTAGAGCTCATGACTTTTCAGCCCTTCTTCTTCTTCTTCTTCTTTTAATAAGTAGAGCTAAGACTGTGAGTTTCCCTCAGCTGGGGGGCTGGGAGGTGAGTCCAGAAAACCTCACCAAAACATCACTGGGGAATTCAAAGGTAAAAGAAGACAATCAGACTGTGGGTGTGCCCTTCGGAGACACTGCACAAGAACCCTTTGGATCTTTTTTCTTTTCTTTTTTCCTCTTTTCTCCTTTCTTTTTTCTTTTCCTTTCCTTTCCTATTTTCTTCCAAATGTTACCATGAATTAACAGCACTCACTGCTGGGCTACTGGAAACATATCTTTCCTGCTTCTGACATAGCATACCTTAAAGTTGGAAAGGAAGCCTTTTATTTGGGGATGCTGTGGGGGTCTATTACTGAGTCTACCCAGAAAGCAATGAAGGTCTGTGGAGGGAAGTAGTACAGAAAGTGGAAGATCTTCAGTAAAATAATTGCAAGGCAACATTTCAGGGTAGTTTAATTTCCTACTGCATTTTAGTGACCAATATAGAAGATATAAAAATGTCATTTATAGAGAAACTCCAACCTTTTGTTTTCCTCGTTATTCTAATAGATTAAATGGAACATATAATATGATTTTTTTTAATTTTTCACCAAACACTGTAATCAATCTTTCATGCTACAGATCTGTGTAGTTACTGCTTGTCACACACTCAAAATAGATGTGAATAGGACTTCAACAGGAAGGAAACTCTGCTCTTTTCCCCTCTGGTAACAAGGCAGGAAACTTCTACAAATTCCATCCTTAGGCATCCTCCCATTCCATTTGATCAGGTTTAACTGAAAGTTACAATGTTTCCAGTCTCAAGCACCAAGGTGGTATTGATGGAGACACATTGATGGGGACCTTGGGGTTTTAGGAGGTGAGGGGCAGTTTTTTAATCCATTAGTTTCTTCTGACTCAGTTCACCACCCAGAACCAACCCCAAGCCTGCCAGGTGAGGTCGGGAGGCATGGGCTGGGTAAGGCAGGACAGCAACCTCTGCCCCAGCTCATGTGTCAGAGATGGAAGGGACAATGGGCCAGGGCTGCCTGTGGAAATGGCAGGCCCTTCTCCTGCAGGCTCCTCCAACTCATCTGACGCGTCCTCCTCCTCCTCTAAAATCAGCTGATGTGGCCCCATCAGGGACCTCTACAGTCGAACTTTGTTTTCTGCGGCTAGTAACATTGCAAACGCAGAATCTGGCTTCTCAGCAAGGACTTCAGGCTTGTCAAACTCGACCACCTGCAAGTCAGAGAAAAAGAGCTGAAATTGGCAGAAAAGATCCACTCACCTAGAGTCCAAACCACTGAAGCTTCTGGGGAGGTTACGCCAACAACTTCCTGTACCTTCCCATTTTCCATGACCAGAACGAGGTCGCAGTTGAGAACCGTGTTGAGGCGGTGGGCAATGGTCAATACTGTGCGGCCTTTGAAGGCATCTTTGATGGTGCTCTGAACAAGGGTGTCGGTCTTGGAGTCCATGGAGGCGGTGGCTTCATCAAGGAGAATGATCTGTTGAAGGAAGGCACATTGTAAAAGTCACACTAAGCCAAAACTGCAGCTGAGGGAAACTCACGGTCTTAGCTCTACTTATTAAAAGAAGAAGAAGAAGAAAGGCTGAAAAGTCATGAGCTAAGTGTCCATCTCAAAAGGTTAGAAAAGTAACAGCAAAGTAAAAGTCAGTTCACACCTCCTCCATCTCCTTCAGAGGGACTGACTGAAAGAATAAGGTGATATATGATTTACTTCTCTTTTTAAGTGGTTTATTCTATCTTACAAACTGGTAGGAGGCTTCATCTATCGTGCTAACATGAATCAGCATGAGCTATAATAACTTGTATTTGTTTCCGATCACAGCTATAACAAATGAGCACAAACTCAGAGGATTAAAAACAACACAAAGTTAGTGTCTTGTAGAGCTGGAAGTCAGAAGTCCTAAAGTCAAGGTTTTGCCAGGGCTGCATTCCTTTTGCAGGCTCTAGAGAGAAACTGTTCCCTTGCCTGTACCAGCTGCTCCGGCCTGCCTGTGTTCCTTGGCTCGTGCTACCTTTCTGGCATTGCTCTAATGCATACTTCCATCGGTCACATCGCCTCTTCTCTTTCTGACTCTCCTGCCTCCCTCTTAGACAGATCTGCATGACTATACTAAGCCCACCCAGGTAATGCAGGAAAATCTCCAACCTCAAAATCCTTGGCTTAGTCACATCTGCAAGGCCCCTTTCTCTCAGGTAAGGTGGTGCATTCACTGGTTCTGGCTATCAGGACGTGGACGTCTTTGGAGGGGGAGGGCACTGTTCTGCTGACCACAGTGCTGGTTTGCAAGTCAGAGGGCTCGAGCTCAGCTCTAGCTCCGCTTGACCATGGTTAAATTACTTAAATTCCCCAAGACTCCATGTCCTCATCTGTAAAAGGAGGTTATACCTTCTTCGGGGCACGAAACACAAAGACAACACAGCACACAAACCACTTAGCAGCATATAGTGCCTCAGTCGAGATGGAATTCATGCTGGGGCTGGCTCCCTCCCTGCCATTAGGACATCTACACAACATACACGATGGGTTACACTTTGATCAGGGTTCAGACAATGGGATTTCAAAAGCAACTGCAACCCATTCCTTGAAATCAGTAGCCAAGGATGACTAAGTCACCAAGAAAAATGAGTATAATTTTTACGATTCTCATTTCTTAGCATTCTGAAGGTGTTCTTTAACATCCTGGGTGTTGTTTATCACGTCTCAGGATTGTTCAGGGACAAGGCAAAAAAAAAAGTCAAGAGGCAGATTTCATATACTCAAACCACTTAGGAGGACAGAGAGAATACCTAAGCAAGGCTTCCCATGGGGAGGCCCAGGGGAGGCAGGTGCTATTGCTGTAAATGGCTGTTATTTTTCAATTTTTATCCCTTACAACTTTGTCTTAAAAGCAATTGATCGGTTTTTAAATGGCTCAATTGTTCTCTCTTTGCTGAAAGACAAATGCGTGGCTCTACCTCCTGGATTGAGTGGCGCTGCGGGAAATATCCAAAATTTGACCAATCCATTTTCCGTGCTGTTTCCTTACTTTTGAATTACGGAGAAGTGCTCGGGCCATACAAAGCAACTGACGTTCCCCCACTGAGAAGTTTTCTCCATTTTCTGTGACTTCTGCATGTAATTTTTCCGGGAGTTTCATTATCTATAAAACACAGAAAATGTCACATTTATGCTGATGATCTATAAAATTGTCCTGCATCATCTATATTGATTGCCCCCTTCTCATGCATTCATCAGCTGGCTTTATTTTACTGAGGAAAAGAAAATACAAAACAACAATCACTTCATCGCAAACAGGCACCAGGGAAAGACCAGGGAGTAGGCGGACATTAATAATGTAAAATCACAGTATGATTCATAGAGCCCCGTAGACACCTTGCCAAAAGAGGACAAATGGTGCACATATGGCTCCAGAGAAACACAAATGAAGTGTAAATGGCTTCCAGGGTCCCTAGTTCCCTAGACAAAATAGACATGGGATGGGAGAGTTTTCTAGTCATCAAAGAAAGGTAAGGAAGTGTCTGATTCATACAGTCATGGTGGCATTGGGGCATGCTCACCTTGGTACCAAGTCTTGGTGGAAACAATCCCCTCTATGCTGCAGAGGTGGCCACACTCACCTGTTGACCCCAGCTGCAGCTCTTATAGGACAGGACCCCATCTCACAGAAACTGGCCATATTTGCCATTCCTGGAGCATGCCATGCTCCCTCACCTTCCTGGGGCTTCTCTGTTCCCAGAAGCAAACGAGGCTATTGGCAGAGCAGAAGGATGCCCCATCTGCTCTAGAGTCAGATGCACTTGGGTTCAAGTCTCCATTCTGCCACTTACTAGCTTATACATATTTCTTCCCTGAGTCTTCATTACTGTACCTCTAAAAATAGGGGTAGGAGTCCCAACCTCAGAGGGTTATAGTCAGGACAGGACCAAATGAGATAATGTATGCAGAACTCTTGACTGGACCATTGCAGAGGCCTAATACATATTATCTGTTGTTGCTTTTAACAATAGAGAGTAAATAAGGACCACATTCTACTGACATATATGATGCCAACAAATAAGCCTGGCCAAATGCTGGCCTAGTGCTTGTCCAGTTCAAACCTGGGTCAGGTATCTGGGGCCCTGGTGCTGAGAAACAGGTTCATCCTGGACAGCCCCAGAGACCTACTGTGTCTCTCATGAATGTCCTCTCCAGAACCCGCCAGATCATCTCATCCGAGTGGTTCTCAAAGGGATCCAAGTTATACCTGCAATAAAGGAAAGAGCAGGGAGCTGGATTTCTGAGGAAGATAGGATGGGGGGAGCATGTTTTCTGCAGCCTGTGGGAGAGAGTAAGAGGTGGTGTGTGATGACTCCTTTGCCTCCAAAAGTAGTGCTTAGCCCAGGACAATGGTCTGTAAAATAACCAACCTCAAGCCAAGAGAGCAAGAACCCATAGCTCTGTGATGGGGCAGAGACCACCAAGGCAGGAGAGATAGCACTGAGCAAGGCACTCAGGAAGACACATTTGTCCTCACAATGGCCGTTTATGGCAGAATGCATTTGGCCCTCTGCAAATTCTTGGTGGAGGTGAAGGGGTGGGGATTCACTCTGCCATTACATTCACTCCACCTTCAGAAGCAAGAGGTATAGCTGCAGCTCCCAGGCCCGTGCACAGGGTGGGTATCCCACTTGCAGGGTGTGAGTCTAGTATACAGCCTACTACTTGATCTGGTGCTCAATGGGAGAAATATTCCTCTCATCAGAGGGGCAGCCATTGTGCTGGACTAAATGAGAAACTGGTTTTCTCCTTGTCCCTTAACATCAGATCTTGAGTCCTAGAAGTTACAACCCTACCATTCTTATACTTGAACAACTTCTGTTCACTCCTCATGGGAATAAATTGATGCACTTCCCTATGGATGGCTACATACACAGGGTAACCACTTATTTTATTTCGCAAACTGGGCTCTTCTGAGAGTGGCCATTGTTAAACATGATAGGATGCTGAGACACAGGCATAAACCAGGGCTCTCCAGGACCAACTGGGATATCTGCTTACCCTACGTGTAAGCATCTCGCTTTTTGGTGATATAGCTCATAAGATATAGGTAATGTTCAGGGCCCTAGTCCTTGGCTCCTCCCAAGGCTTCACTGAAGAGCAGGTACTAGTAGTGCTCGTGAGCACCTCAGGATACTGCTTCTCTCATCCCCACTCTGGGCACTTCACAAAGCTCCTGGCTGGTCTGATTTTACCATCCAAAAAATAGGAATGCACAACGATCAAAAAACAGCTACCTTACTGTACCTACAAACAGGACAGGATCCTGAGGGATCACAGTCAGCTTGGTTCTGAGGTCTTCCAAACCAATCGTGCAGATATCCACCTCATCAATGAAGATCGTACCGCCGGCTGGCTCCACCAGACGAAACAAGGCCATTCCCAATGATGACTTTCCTGGGAGCAATAAAAGCAAGAACAGCAAATCAAATATCAGTTTGCACTTCCATCATATCCAAGTATCTCATCAAGGGAATTTCTAATGCAGTGAAATGTCTCCATGCAGATGATCATGCAGACAGAAAGGCCTCACTCTGTGCAGGCAATCCACTGCCCTAACGTCTCTAACCTGCCCATCCCTGCAGGGGCTGTTAACAGAGGACTCATCCTCTGGGCCTCGTTTCACCAGAATGATCCTCATTTAATTAATTCAAAAACCGATGTGTGTTTGTTTCCAACTCCGCACACCCGTTCAACCTGAAATCCTAATTTACAGTAAAGAGATTTGAGGGGAAAAAAAAACAGCCAATCCACCACACACACACACACACACACACCACCCTCTCGTGTGGCTTAACCAGCACACCCAGTGGAAATGCAAAGAAAACAACCTGAAAAAAGCATAGTCAGAGCTCACCAGAACCTGTTCTTCCAACAATCCCAACTGTCTGCCCACTTTGAATGACCAAGTTCAGCCCGTCAAGAACAAGGGGAGTGTTGTTTCTGTATCTCATCTGATAGTCTCTGAATGTTATTTTCCCATGGCTGGGCCAGTCATGCGGACAGGTTTCCACTTTGAGGGGGTGAGTGCACTCAGGAACACAGGTCTGAAAAGCAGAATGACCAATGACAGGTTAATAACCATTCGCTTTTCCATCCATTTAATTCATTCTTTCATTCCCACAATTCTAGGTCCTGGTGTTCTTGGTGGTGAGCTAAACCAATAAATTCAGTCAAGAACTTACATTCCAGTGGGGAACTCGGTGATAAACAAGAAGTGAAATCAGAAGTAAAGACAATAAAACAGAGTATTGTAACAATATAGAATGTGTGTGGTGGAAATGGGAGGCGGAATAAAAGTAACTTAAGGGTTGAAGAAGGCATCTATGAGGATGTGGCATACAAGGTGAGACCTGGAATGCTGCAAAAATGCCTGCTATAAGAAGATTTGAGTCCAGAGCCTTCTAGGCAGAGTGGACAGCTAGTGCAAAGGCCCTGAGGCCAGGGCAAGCTTGGTTACTTTGAGGAATAGAAAGAAAAATCATGTGGCTGGAGCTTAGTGAATAGAGAGATGGATAACTATAAGGGACAGCTCCTATTGGGCCTTGTGGGCCTGGGCAAGTGTCAGCAGTGTGACCTTGAAGCTATATGACAAATCCAGAACAAATCTTGAGACTTGCAGAATTCAATCAGATATAATTTCAATATCTGTGAGAGTCATCATGGTGTTAGAAGTAAGAAGATGACAAGAAGGCAGAATGTCAGGTTCAGAGGTCTTTAAAGTGACATGGGAAAGACATTTTAGTTGCCCAAAAATCCAAAAAATGCAAAGTCTAAGTAAGGAGCAGAGCAACTTGGCTATGTTATAAGATCAACCCTTCCCCTGTAGTGATGAGTCTTTGTTAGCGATAAGAAGACCCTCATGTGCCCTTGTAGGTGGTTGACCAGCCTGAATCTGTGATAAGCAACCACAATTAACTGAGAAAATAACTGTATTCTTAGTGAATATTTTTAACCCCCAGGAGACCTAGAATTCATAACAAAAATATTTAAGAGAAGCTTGAGGCACCTGGGTGGATCAGTCTGTTAAGCATCTGACTCTTGATTTCAGCTCAGGGTCATGAGTTCAAGCCTCACATTGAGCTCCATGCCCAATAAAATATATATATATTTAAATTTATATATTTATAAATATATATATATATTAAAGAGAAGCAAAATTGTAACGGTAGAATTATCAGTTTAAGGATTCTGCATATTTGGTGTTTTAAGTATAATAATATTAGTAACATAAGGGCCTGTGATTCTAATTTAAAATGTATAATTGAATAATTTATTTAAACATGATTTTAAGTTAAAAGCTTACTGTTCATCTACAGCATTGGGATGGTTATACATATTTAAAGCTTACTGTATTTATAAGTGTAATTTATTAGATTTATATAACCTCTGGAAGGTTTGCTTGTTAAATCGGATAATCAAGATACTTAAGAAAGGAATAAAATGCGCTAAATTTTAAAATATAGTTTAAAATATTTTAAAGAGATTAATTAAGTTTGTAAATAGGGCCAAATGCTATTCAGAGTCCCTTAAAAGTGATTGCTTGACTTGTCTAGACTTCCTTTCAAAGAATTGAAGGATTTCTAAGTTGAACATAAAAGCATTTAGAGAAGGGGCACCTGGGTGGTAGAGTCAGCTGAGCGTCCAACTCCTGGTTTCGGCTAAGGTCATGATCTCGGGGTCATGGTCTCAAGGTCATGAGATCAAGACCCGCATAGGGCCCCTTGCTCAGTGGGGAGTCTGCATGAGATTCTCTCTCTCCTTCTTCCCTTCTTCCTCTCCTGCCCCATCCCTGTGCTCTCTCTCTCAAATAAATAAATCTTGAAAAAAAAGCTTTTAGAAAAGAGTTCAACCATTTTTTTTTTTTGCAATTTACAATTTCAGCCAATCACATATTAATCTTTAGGAACTAAAGTTAGCCACCGATTTCTCTTCTTGTGTGCAGAGACTGCCCCCTAAAAAAATATTTTTAAAAGTGTACATTCTTCAACCTCAAGAACTTTAGTGTAAATATGGGTTTTAAGAAGAGGGTTGTGGTCCCATTTCAGTTTTTTAAAAAAATGGCTTTCACATGTCTAAAAAATCAAATGCCTATATAAATTTTGCCAGAGCTAACTAGCCCCTCCTCTGGCATGCACTACTTTCTTACCAAAATATACTCTTTGAGCAACTCCACGGAGGTGAATTTGGCCTGGGTCTCTGTCCCTGTGCGCACACATACTTGGAGCAGTCCACTGAGCTATTGTAGAGAAGCAAGCAGCTGGGTTAGAACCCTTTCCTCCCTTGGATTCCACTGTCCCACTTTCAGGGGCAGCCCTTGTTGAAGTACCTCTCCCCAGTCTCACTCAGGGCCACACAGACAGTAGGCCTGCATTCCCAGCCAAGTGCTTAGAAGTGAAGATACTGGGGTGTTTTGCCTTTAAACATTTCCTGTGCATTTAGAAACAAATGGGTAATGACATTTTCCCTGGCACTCCAGATGGCAAGTACCATCCTACCACAGTATCACTTGATCACTCTTAGTCTGAGCGACAGGAAGATGCTGTTGAGCTGGAATCTCCCAGGGCCACAGAACTGCTGGGTATCTCCCCCCCTTGCTGCCATCTGGTGGGGTCCTGTACCTCTATGCCCTCCCCGCTTTAACCTATCCACAACCAAACAGCAACTGAAATCCAATCACCACAGATCATCAGAGTAGAAGAAAACCATTAAGCCCGTCTGTTTGCTTCAGACATGAGAAAATCTAGGCTCAGAGTGGGGAATGTGGCTTGCTAAGGTTACCCACCTCAGGCCAGGATCCTCCAGAAGCCAACCCTGAAATTTGAGTATAAGAAGTATATTAGGGCAGATTGAATGGTGGTCCCCCTAAAAGGTATGTTTGCATCCAAATCCCTGAGACCTGTGAATGTTACTTCATTTGAAAAAATGATCTTTGCAATTGTAATTAAGGATCTTGAGATCATCCTGGATTAGATGGACCTAAATCCAATGACAAGTGTCCTTCCAAGAGACAGAGGAAGAGAAGACACAAAAGAGAAGAAGATGCGAAGGCAGAGGCAAAGATTGAAATGATGCAGCTACAAGCCAAGGAATGCCCAGGAATGCCAAGAGCCACCAGAAGCTGGGAGGGACAAGGAATGGACTGTCCTCTAGAGCATTCAGAGGGCTCAAGGTCCTGTCTATACCTTTGGGACTTCTGACCTACAAAACTGTGAAAAAATAAATTTCTCTGGTTTTAAGGCACTAACTTATGGTAATTGGTTACAGCCGCCCTAGGAAACTAATCCAGGAGGTGGACCCTAAAAGTACCAGAAGGAGCTGGGAGAAGTGGGGCACAGAAGAGACGGTAAGTCACAAGAGGTTCAGTTGTGGGCAAATGAAACTTGATCCCACTGGAAGCTCTGGGACACTGCGTGGAACACACTTGAGTTGTCCTGAGGAAGCTGGGCTACATCTCCACTGACCCCCTTCAATCATTGCTGGGCCACTTCCAGCTGGGGGAACTCCCCACACCTGTAGGCTGCTCTGGGCTTGGACTGATCACCTTCCTGTAGCAGCAGGATTCCAACTGACCTGCCCTGGAAGGTTGGTGCACCAACAACACCTGTCTCAGTTGCAAGGTGGGCTAGTGGGCTCGAGGCAGGACCAGGTCTTCTTTCTCTAGGTGAGCAGTGACTGTGGGCCAGGTACTGCTGGGGGGGACTGGTTTTCCAGGGCTGAATATGATGAACAAAACCCCTGCCCTCATGAGGCTAATGTTCTAGTAGGCTGGCAAGATAAGGCAGGGGTAATTTCAAGAAATGGTGAGAATGCCAATAAAACAGGATGACGTGAAAGAGGGCCAGGTTTGGGTGTGGGGTTGCCTCAGTTAGGGAAGTAAGGAACTGTGTGATTGGAGGCATTTACAGTTAAGAAGTCCACGAGGTAAACTCAGGGTTTGGGTAGCTCCTGAGTAGCATCAAGTGGCCTTAACAGGAAGGAGGCAGTGTGGCCCAAGCAGGTGAATGAGGGGAGGAGCGGTATAGGTCCAGACCCTTTTCAGGGTTCCCTTGCTGCTTCCCGGCTTAACACGTGCCACTGGCTTTCCATTTCTCTTAGAGCAATGGCTCTTGACCTGGGTAATTATGCCCTTCAGGAGACATTTAGCAATGTCTAGGGATACTTTTGGTTGTCACAGCCTTGGAGGAGGGAGGTTCTACTAGGATTTCCTGGTTAGAGATTAAGGAGGCTAACATCCTACAACACATAGGACAGCCTCTCAAAAAGAGGATCATCCAGCCCAAATGTCCATAGTGCTGCAGTTGAGAACTCTTTCTTAGAATATAAACAACTCCTCTGCCATGGGTGACAAAGTCCTGCAGAGTCTATCTCTGCCAACGCCTCAGACCTTATTTTCTACCAATCTGCTCAAACTACATGACCTTCTGAGTTCCTCAAATGCACCGAGCTCCTGCCTACCCCAAACCTTGCCCTGGCCCCTCAGCCTGAAGCATTCTGCCTTCCATCTTCTCTGGTTCTTTGTCATTCATGTATCAGTTTGGAAGTCACCTCCTGGCAGAGGTCTCCTCTGACTATAGGATCTAATGTTGCTTCCCCACTGACAGTCACATTCCCTGCTTTATTATCTCCATAACACTTAAACAATTTCCAAAGTCTTCTCATTGATTTACTTGGGCACTTATTTATTCCATTCCACATTATATCTCTTTTTACACTTGATCTTAGCCAAAAGGCCGAGAAGCGATCGTTATATCTCTTTTTATCCTATGGAGTACAAGCTCCATGAGGGCTGGGACCTATCCAGCCTGTTCACTGCTGAATCCACAGCACCTACTAGAGTTCCTGGCTCATGGTAGGTGCTCAGTGGCTATCTAGTCAGTGAATGAATGAACCCTGCCCTTGAGAAGGGCTTATACATGTTTTGTTAAATTCAAGGGTATCAGCCCCTCAAGGCTCTGGGCAGCCCTCCACAAGTTTAGAACTCCCCTGTCAGCACAGTGCTGGCCCAGTAAGTGCTCATTCTCCTCCATGATGTTATGTGATGTCACTTTACATTCACTTTCTGCTCTGTGGGACTTCACACACCTAGGGAGTCTCATCTGTTCTCAAGGAAAGCTCTGTCATTTGGATTCTGTGTTCTCCAAAGAGGGCTAATGCTCAACAAAGCCACAAAACCAGCTAGAGAAGTGTTCCCCTAGATCTCAGTGTGTTCAAATTCTCTAACCTCACAGCAATGTTTGAAAATAATCTTGGGGAAAGCTGATGATATCCCCAAAAACACAACCTCAGTTGAGGAAAGCTGTTTCTCTTGGACCAAGTATGGGAATCTATTCAATATCATCTGCTTTCTATCTTACTAGGCAACAACAAATAAAAACATCCATCAATGAGGGAAATTGGCTACCCAAGAAAAATTCATTTTTTCCCACTTAGGATAAAGACCTGAGAATTATTTTTGTTCCTTCCCCTTCCCAAAATGCCATTAAAATGATATTAGAGAGATTTTCAAAAAGGAATAGACCTTTAAGGGCAAGGGGGTTGGGAAGAGATATCTTTGAATGAAAGAGTCACAGATTTCTGGAAGAAGGAAAAGGGAAGAAAAGCCTCTTGACAGAATGGAGGCAGAATGTCCTGCAGGGGCTTACAGAGCCTTCTATCTAGCAGAACTCAGACAGGCTCCGGGTGTGAGAAGGGGCCACAGAGAGACTGATTTAATTGGTAGTCTGTCTATAGACCGATCTATTCCCCTCCCCTCATCTTTCTCCCAACCCATCTGCCAACGCCTCAGACCTTATTTTCTACCAATCTGATACCCAATCTTCAGATGGGTATCAGACCCAAATGATGTGGGTTCAAAGCATAGCTCTCACACATGACAGGTGTGTCATGTTGTACAAGTCTTTCTGAACTTCAGTCTTCTCATCTATAAAATGAGGACTATGGCAGTACCTGTCTCATAGGGTTGTTATGGGAATAAATGAATTAATTTACATACAAGGCTTACAACAGTACCCAAAATGGCATGTGTTTCCTGATTATTATTATTATTCTCTATTACTATTATTTCCTTATTACTGTTACTTTTCAAAAGAAAAAACACCAAGGCAACCAAAATGAGAAGTCAGTATTATTTGTTATGGACATCACGGTTGCCTCTCCAGCATTCTTTTCCTGTTCTCTATTGTGGGACAGCTGTGTGACCTGGGGGTCAGATGGAGTGTGACTCCTAAGCCAATCATTCCAATTCTATTGGCCTAAGCCAATCATCCCAACTCTATCCAGGCACTAACTAATTCTGGGATGCCCAAATTAATCCAGTAAGAGTAAAGCTCAGGGCTTTTGCTCAGTGGCTAGGGTAGGAAAAGCTCTGTTTCTCCTTCCTTCTTGTTATAGCCCTCAGAAACTATCAGTCACCATTGTACAACCATGAAGGAAGTCATCACAGAATAAGGACAAAGCCATGGGCTATGATCCAACTGTTCCTGAAGCCCACATAACCGCCAGGCCTTTTAATGATGTAAGCCAGTAAATTCTTTATTCTTTGAACCCATTTGAGTTGGATCTTCTATTACATCCATCCTCCCTGACATGCCCTATGCCAGAGCCTCCAGGCCAAGCCTAACCTTACATGAGGTGTTACCTGGATGATGTAAGACAAAGACAAGCCTTTGGATGAAGCACTAATTGAGGAGAAGCTCAGGGTCACCAACAAGGCCACAATGAAGGTAACGATGTTCATGAGGACGTCCATTCTTAGAGCAAACCACCTGAGAGCACAGTTAAAGTATAGGAGGTGGCTAGAGTTTTCATCATTTAGCATCTTAAACCTAAAATTAAAAGATCAGAGAAAACAGGAGATCAGGTGTGCTTCCAAAACTTAGGGTTGGGGCCACTGGAAAATTAAGGCAAGGGGAATTTTTAATCAAGGGCTAATGCACTTTACATAGGAATCCCTTACAAAGATAGGAAAATATCCATACTCTAAAATCTGCTGCCATAGGTATCTTTGATTTGCATATATCCCATGTGACAGTATTGTGCTGAGTGGGTTCTTTCTCTTTCCCAGAACTGGCAACTAGAACTCACAGCTGAGAACAAAAGGTGCTCAGTATCTCATGCTCTACAATCAAAAGATCCCTATTTTGGAGTCAGCCACTCCCTACAAAGGCCTTGTGGAATTGATAGTTGGCCCCCTTGATCCATAAAAGGGGGGAGGGCTGGTTTGTGGAGGAGGTTGCTTTTAGGGAGAATCAATGCTTATGATGGTAAAATAAGGAAAAGGAGGATGCTTGCTTCCCTCCTCAAATCAGAGAAAGTAGATTCATGGCAATTGCTTATAAAGCTGGGGGTCTCCTTCAGAAGAAAAAGCCGACATCTTGTACCCCTGCTGTGTATTCACTGAGCCAAAGAGGAGAAGGGCACAGGGTAGAGGGACAGAGCGATGACAACACCAAGGTTGAGGGCAAAACCTGCCCCTGGAGTTGCTCATTCCCCAGATGTGTGGAAGACAAATCCTGCCCATTCCTGCTGTTGCTACAGTTGGGGGTGCAGAGAAGTGACTTTTCGTGCTGCAGTCTTAATGCAGTATTCCTCGGCATGAGGCAAAGGGGCCCCACATCAAAGGAATGCAGTGTGAGGCTGCCCAGGAAGAGCTCTCTGGAAGACCCAGGCAGGTCTTGCCCATCAGCAATGCCCAGCAGAGCTGCTAGGGATTTGGTCCTGTTGGGGCCTCCACCTTGCCATACCACATCGGCACAATTTGCTGGACTAGCAGAAATGAGCAGCAGGAAGGAAAGAATGGCCTGAGGATGTGTCCTCCCCCACTCCATTCCCATGCACCAGCTTCAGGGAATCAGGCTTAGAGAAAAGGAAGAGGATGTTTAAAAGAATAGATCAGGGGTTTCCCAGCAGCACACCTGGCCCCCATCCTACACAGCTCATACACAAAGCACCGTGTTACTACTCCAAGCCTCTGGGTATGTTAGGGAGGGAATACAGTGGATCCTTGAACAATGCAGGTTTGAACTGCATGGATCTACCTATGCATGGATTTTTTCAATAAATACAATGTGGTACTGTAAATGTATTTTCTCTTCCTTATGATTTTCTTAATAACACTTTCTTTAGCTTACTTTATTGTAAGAATACAGTATATAATACATACAACATATAAAATATGTTGTTAATTGACTGTTTATGTCATCAGGAAGGCTTCCAATCAATAGTAGGTTATTAGTAGTTAAGTTGGGGGGGAGTCAAAAGTTAGATGCAAATTTTCAACTGTGTGGGGGGTTGATGCTCCCAAACCTGCATGGTTCGAGGGTCCACTGTACATTCAAGATGTAAATTTTAACTGAGCTGAACCATTAACCACAAGAGACATCAGGTTCAATTGCCACTGGGGTTCCCCTGATCTATTAGGAAAGGGGCTTCATCAGAACAACTGGTAGAAGTTATTGTGATAAAACGAAAACCTTTCAATGTTTAAACCCCTAAAGAGTTAAGATTCTTCCCCTGGTACAATCACCATCATCCCCAGGCATTGCTGCTCCATCCTGTTCCAGAACTCCTCAAAAGACTGTCTGGAAGCACCTCTGACCAGCCGTGCTGGGGCCTGTAACATCCTCCCCCTTCTATTTCCACCCTAACTTATTTTCCGCAGAGCTTAGTTAAAATATTCTTCCAAACACCGTGGTGTTTCTATCCTTTAGCTTATAAAGCCTACAAATGCAGCTGACGGTTTAAGTGACTTAGAAGTCATGTGTAGTCCTATCTGTGTGGTTGGTTAGACTGCAAAGGAACAAAAGAAACAGACTGGAATTTGACCTCAAGACTCTGTCCAGTCCTGTGGCATTTTTGTCTGGTGACAAAAGCAATACATGTCAGAAGCCCAAGCCCTCTGGAAAGTCCACGGCAGGAAAGAAAGTATTAAAAGAAGGGGACCAGGGACCCCATCAATCATGTAGGACTCAGCTGTCCCATAGAATTTCCCTGAAAACCTTGGATAAGAATCTGCAGGAAGACAAAGCTTGTATCTGTTTTGTTTGTCATGAGTAATTCAATGACTGACTCCATGGACAGGAGCCTTTCCTCATGACCAGGACATGGGAAGGTCCATGTGTGATCCAGGACTCTTGATAGATGACATGCAGGTTAAACTAGGAATAGCACAGCCACTGATTGAACTAAAGGCAAGCTGGCATGCCGAGTCTACACTGAAATCCTAGGTAGCGAAGTATGGGAAGAGAGAGAGAGAGAATTAGTCCCAAACTTGGAGTGTGTGTTAGGTTTTTTGGGTTTTTTTTAAGATTTTATTTATTTATTTGACAGAGAGAGAGAGAGCACACAAGCAGGCAGAGCAGCAGGCAGAGGGAGAGAGAGAAGCAGGCTCCCCACTAAATAGAGAGCACAATGTGAGGCTCAATCCAAGGACAATGAGATCATGACTGAAGGCTGAAGTCAGATGCTTAACCAACTGAGCCACCCAGGTACCCCAATCTTTAGGTTTTTAAGGTGGGAAAATATAGGGAAACAAACAAACAAACAAAACAAAATGGAACACCCAATATGGCAGATACCGCTATGGATTCACCAAATTTCATTTTCTTTTCCTCCTATGGGCACAGCTGGACTCCATTTCCCAGGCTCCCTTGCAGTTTGGTGAGCCCATGTGAATGAAGTCTGGTCAATGAGTGTGCAGAACTGATGAGTATCTTCATTGGAGTTAAAAAATTTCCCATGAGGCTCTGCATCCATTCCTCACCTTATCTTTCAGTTAGACACAGAGGATCCTGGAGAAAACCCCCAAGGCCCTCAGGTTGGAAAAGCCCCAGGTAGAACAACTCCCCTTTCCCCTGCCCTATGGACTCTCATTAAAATGTGACTCTAGGAAGAATAAACACATACTGTGTTAAGCCCCTAAAATTTGGAGGTCTTTGCTATCACAGCGAACCTACATGGTTGACACAATTTATACTGTATTTTAGAAGTTTGGAGCTGGGAGACTCCAGAGAAATTTACTCATCTAGTCCCCACATTTTAAAAAGAAGGAAAGTGCTGTATCCATCAAGTAAAATATAATATGGCCTTTAAAATTTATTTTTATGAGAAATATGTTATAACATTTAAAAAATGCCATTTAAAAATAAAATGAGACAAACATGATTATGAATACTTAAGAAATAGAAAAAATGAAAGACTGGAAGGAAATATATGAACATACTAATGGAATTTGGATTGGGGACCTATGAGTGATTTTTTTCCTTCTTTTTCCCGCTTTCTCCTACTTTCCTGAATTGGACAAATTTTGCTTCTAGTGCAAAAAATAAAACATGTAAATTCACATACTGAGGTTGTCATTGAATGAGCTCACCACTTTTGGGGCCCCAGATACTAGGGAGAAAGGCCTAGTGCCTTCGACTGCTCCTTCTTGATTCTGCCAGCAATTCACCGAGTCCCCAGCATCCCAGACTTCCCTTCTCAGAGTCAGAGAAGCCATCTATTCCTGTTACCTCCCATTCAAGGTCAGGGGTAAGTGGGGAGCCCTGGAACAGGGGCCCTGCACTGGACTCACTTGCTAATGCAGTCCTCCTTCTTGTCATAGGCGTGGATGATGCCCAGGCCCTGCATGGATGAAGTGATGTGGGAGAACCAAGGAGACCGGCTGATGTTCTCCACCTTCTTGAGTTCCTGGACTCCTCTATGGAAAATGCTGTGGGTAAATCAAGAGGGCCACAAAGTGGGGTCTCAGAGGGCTCACTCTTAGCACACACAGGTCTGACTATGCACTCAAGACAAAGTTTAAGTCAGATGGATGCCATATAACTAGGGAGAAGGGATTGGCCCACCACTCTCCTCTAGGACAGGCCATCCCAGTTGTGGGACAGATGGGGTCTCAGAAATGTGTCTCCGACATGAATAAACATTTTTCCAAAGAAGACATTCAGAGGGCTAACAGACACATGAAAAGATGCTCAACATCACTCATCATCAGGGAAATACAAATCAAAACTACAATGAGATATCACCTCACACCTGTCAGAATGGCTAAAATTAACAACACAGGAAACAATAGATGTTGGCAAGGGTGCAGAGAAAAGGGAACTCTCTTACACTATTCATGGGAATGCAAACTGGTGCAGCCATTCTGGAAAACAGTATGGAGGTTCCTCAAAAAGTTCAAAATAGAACTACCCAGCAATTGCACTACTAAGTATTTACCCAAAAGATACAAAAATACTGATTCAAATGGATGCTTGCACCACGATGTATTTATAGCAGCATTATCAACAGTAGCCAAATTATGGAAAGAGCCCAAATGTCCATCGACTGATGAATGGATAAAGAAGATGTGGTACACACACACACACACACACACACACACACATACACACACACACAGGAATATTACTCAGCCATCAAAAAAAGAATGAAATCTTGCCATTTGCAATGACATGGATGGAGCTAGATTGTATTATGTTAAGTGAAGTCAGTCAGAGAAAAACAAATACCGTGTGATTACACTTCTTTGTGGAATTTAATAAACAAAACAGATGAACATGGGGGAAAATAAAAGAGAGAGAGGCAAACCATAAAACAGACTTAACTATAGAGAACAAACTGTGGGTTGATGGAGGGACACAGGTCGGGGAATGAGTTGAATGGGTGATGGGCATTAAAGAGGGTACTTGTGATGAGCACTGGGTGTTGTATGGAAGTGATGAATCACTAAATTCTACTTCTGAAACTATTATTACATTATATGTTAACTAACTGGAGTTTAAACATGAAACTACATAGGAAGGAAGGAAGGAAGGAAGGAAGGAAAGAAGGAAGGAAGGAAGGAAGGAAGGAAGGAAGGAAGGAAGGAAGGAAGGAAGGAAGGAAGGGAGGAAGGGAGGGAGGGAGGAAGGGAAGAAGGGAGGAAGGGAGGAAGGGAGGAAGTCTCAGAAATGTGAGCCATTCCTTGCTGTGGTCTCAGTTTTGAGTGCTTCTTGTGGCATGAGTGTGTCACTGCAGGAGATGTGATTCCAGTCTTTGAAGACCAGAAATTTTCATACAGTGTAGCTCCTAATACAAGCCAACCACTTTTTGGGACCCAACCAAAGAAAAAATGATCTTTTCCAATTCTAGAGGAAAATCTGGTCCTCAACTGCCAATGTGTGGTCTTCTAAAGGCATTTTCAAAGGTAATTTGAATCATAGCCTCAGGAGCTGACTTTAGAACCAAACCCCTCCACAGGATGCAACTCCCCTGGGTGTTGAAGCTCCAGGATCCTGCTGAGCACCAGACTACTGCCCTCAGGCATGCACATTGGCAGGTTGGCCCATGACAGCAAATCAAATCTGCCCTCCAGACTCTCAGCTAAAACTACCTGGGGGAGAGGAAGGAAAACCTCATTAGCTCAGAGCTCAAGTGAGTTAGCTGGAAATATTTAGGTGATTCAGTCATAGCCAGGCATGGTCTGGCCTGTCTTTGTAGCAAGAAGGAGGGGTGCAGAGCAGAGAAAAACTTTTACTAAGTAAATCAACAGTATAAACTGGAGAACAGACAGGAACAATGGTCGGTCAAACACAGGGATTACAAAAACAAGCACCAGGCCAAGGAGTCCATTTTAAGAAGTGGTATCCAAGACATCTTTATCTTTGCAAAGGATCTGAAGAAAGTATTTTATTGGGTCATCACAATAAACCCTTGAGGCTGGACAGTGAGTCCATGTGACCTTTCTTGGAGTCACCAGGGAGATAGTGGGAGACCAAAGAGAGAGCCCAGGGCACTGGTGCTAGTTCCCACGGTCACACCAGCTCCTACACAGAAGCCAAGGATACAGAGTCCACTCTCCTGCCCCAGTGCATCCCTATACCCTCCCTTCCCACTGTCTGCTGGCACCATCTGTGGACTTGACCCACAAACTACAAACATCCAAATGTAAGCCCACAGACTTGATTACCCAAACCGCTTTTCTTCCCATATCACCTATATCTCTCTTCACGTCACTCCCCATCTTGGACCCATCCTTGGCCTCTCCCATCCCCCAACCCCAAAGACCATCTCAGAAATGGCTCCCAAATCGACCCCTCTTTCCTGTCCCCTACTGCTTCCACCTGTCTCATCTCTCATTCAGACTCTACATTTCAAGAGTCTCTCATCCCATAGCCCTGGTCTTGATCTTTCTGTAGCTCCATCCATCCTCCATGCTGGGGCCAAAGTGATATTTCTAAAACTCAGCTCTGAGTGTGGTGTCCCTGAATGAAAACAAACAAACTTGCTTACAGGTGGAGGCAGGTCCAGGATTTGGGGCTGAATCCTCTATAATTTGGGGGACCCTCTTTGAGACCCTCAGTGTCCAGCCCAAAATTTGGCACATCTAAGAACATAATAAACATATTGTTGAGTTTATGAAAACTCAAAGTTTCTATAACATTGTACAGCTGATTCTTGAACAGTGCAAGGGTAGGGGTGCCAATCCCCCATGCGGTTGGAAATCTGCATATAATTTTTGACTCCCCAAAAACTTAACTACTAATAGCTTACTGTTGACTGGAAGCCTTACCAATAACATAAACAGTCGACTAACATGTATTTTATGTTATATGTATTATATACTATATTCTTACAATAAAGTAAGCTAGAGAAAAGAAAGTCATTAAAAAAAATCAAAAGGAAGAGAAAAGCCATTCATAGTATGGTACTGTATTTATCAAAGAAAGAGTCCACATATAAGTGGACATGAGCAGTTCAAACTCATGTTGTTCAAGGGTCAACTGTATTCCATTTTTAATTTATAAACCACTTAGAGTCCTATAGTCTCATTTGATCCTCTCAATAACCCCCTGTTTCATGTGCCAGGTGTATGTTTTAACGATTACCTTTAGGGATGAGGAAACAGGCTTGCCCCAAGGTCATCCAGCTAGTTTTGCAGTAGGGCTGGGGGTCTGGTGCAAATTTCTCTGATTTCCAACCATCTGGCCTTACACAATACTTACCATGCTGCCCGCTGAGGGCTCCAGCTCACCCCAGCAACAGGGAAGAACTGGGTTCCTCGAGGGCTGGGATCAATCCACCCTCCTGCTTCCCTCCAAGGTGGGTGAGGAAGTGGCAATGGGGCACAGCCTCAGCAGGACGCCCCAGTGCCTAGCTGCCTGAAACCTTTCTCTAACCATATCAGCGGTTAGGGTGGGTGCTAGTTCCCAAAGCTCAGAGTGACTAAGGACTGGTCTTCTCTCTCTTCTCCAGCAACAGGATGGCAGAGAGAACTCTGTGACTGAGGACACAACAGCAGACAGACGGCAACCATGGTTACTAGTTTCCTGGCCTAGGACCACTGACTTAACCTTCCCAATCATGCCCACCTTTCAGGGTTACTTGAGGATAAAATGCCAGATGTATACAAAGCGCTGAGCGTAGCACCTGGTATTTCATCAAGACTAAAAATCAATACGCTCCCACATTCAGAGAAAACAGCAAGGATTCTGCATCACTTGATACTACCTCGTCATTGGGCAGAGTTAACCCAATACATAAAGGTTTCATGTGCTTCTTTTTAAATAATGCATCGACCTACCGTAAAAGAATGAAGAAGCCAACAGCAAGGCTGGCCAGGACTAAAAGGACAGCAGGAAACACAGCAGCCAATATCACAAGAATAAACAGCACCATAAAAAATTGCTGCAGAAAGTTCTCTGCGTGAAATGGCAGCCTCACATCCAGCTCGTCCATATCCTTGGAAAAACGGTTCATTAGCCTGCCAGTGGGAGTTGTGTCAAAGAAGCTCATTGGGCTCTTTAGGATCTGTGGATAAAATCAGGGAGTCCGCAATGAGGTGTGTGTTTAGGAAACACCGACCACTCTGCTGGGGCTGGGATACTTCGAGCAGCTTGAGCATTTTTCCAGGGCCTAACACCGTGTCCCAGGCCATCTTGGGAAAGTGAGGATGCTCCCCATCCTTATGCCCCCCATGAATGAGAGTGTGGGAAAGATTCAGCCTGTGTGTGGAGCCCCAGTGAGAGCCCCCGCAGGTCAGGCCACCCTCCAAACCTGGGATGCAGCCTGGGGTGCCTTGGGAGGAGGAGGGTATTTTGTGCCCAGGAGCAATAAAAAAGCTAAATTCTCCTGTGTCTCTCTGACTAGTGTGAGCCACACCGTGGGCTCTGGCCAGGGCCCTGGCAATACAATAAATCAGTAAAATAGATCAATTCTGCCTACTGCAGCAGTGGAATGAGGAGGGAGCCAGAAGCACTTCTGGAGGCCATCTGTGGACGCAGGGCTCTTTGGAGCTAGAGATGGCCTGCTGGCCGGTGCATGTCTGTTTCTGTGCAGTGCAGTGTCCTCAGGGAAACCTTCCTGACTACCTTCACCTCCACCCCCAGTCTAGCCTAAGGGCCCGTGACACATCCCCACAGTCCCTGGAGTTTGCCTTCACAGTCAACAGTAGATACTGTAAGCCCCTTGAGCATGTGTCTGTGCCCAAAACCCAGCACAATGCCTGATGTGTCATAGGTGCTCAGTAAATGCTATTGACTCAACGACTGGAACTGCGTGCAGCCCCTGGGAGCAGTACCTTGTCAAACATGCAGTCATGTAATGAAGAGGACGCCATCAGTGTGGTCTTGGTGAAGGTGAAACCTTTGATGACACTAAAGGTCAGCACAGACACCATGGTCCCTGCGTACACCCACTGGTACACGTGCTGCCCTGTGTCTGCCAGCACTGCGCCAATCTCACACGCACTCTTGTTGCCCTGGGGCCCACAGGTCATCTTTGGAGAAAAACAAGAGAAGCACCAAGAATTGGTAAATTGTCAGGAAAGTGGGAATTAGCCAGAGGATCTTTCCGGAGAGAAGAAACAAAGGAGGTACATGATTGCAAAGAATGAACCAGGTAGTAAAATCAGGTCACTTTCCTTTGAGGACCTCTGAGCTTTGCCTGGGTCCTCCTGCTGAGCTCCCTGCCCCCAGGGCACCTAACTTACAAGGCTCGAGGCTCGGCACAGTCAGTGGGCAAGCAAAGCAGACAAACTAGGCAGGCACAGGGCAGCCAGATAGCTTCTGTCCCAGAAGCGAACTATGCATCAGGAGATGAGAGGTGATTTTGGGCCAGGAAGATTACAGAAGCACAGGAAATCTGGATTCCGTGGTGAGGCTGGCTGAAGAGCCCTCAGGCAGCCCATACAGAACAGGATATCAAGCCAACCCCACAGTCCCCTCCCTTTCCTTTTTTCAAGAAGCACCTTGGGAGGCACTGGTCCACTACCCTGAAGTCCCTGGTAAGGCAGAGGGAGCCTGGTCAAACACAGGGCTCTGGGAAGATTCAAGAAGACCACATGTGGCTCCATCCTGCTAGGAGGAGAACACATATTTCTGCTAGCATTTCTGGGGAGAGGCCATCTTCTCCTCCTGAGAAATTGGCATCTTCATTTTTCTCTGAGCCATGTGCTGAAAGTCAAGACTGCCTTTGGGGAGCAAACAAGCATCTTTCTTTTAAATGCCATTTTGCTGATTACAGCAATAGCAGAAATGTAAACCAGAGGTGACGGCTGATGGATGAACATCCATAAAAGCAAAAGCATCCCTGGGGAGCTAATTGATGAAAGGCCCAGCTTGAACAGAGGAGGCCTCATTGTGCATCAAGTTGTGCCCACAGTGTCTGGGGGCAGGGCAAATGCCCGGGTCTGCCATTACTGCTGCATGCTCAATTAGCCAATGGCACTAGCCCACTGGGGAAGCACCATACCTAGGAGTTTCCATCCTGACCAGAAACTTTGGGCTCTCCAGGGAAAGAGCTCTTAATGAGCCAGGGAGGATCTGGGAGAATATTCTAGAAATGGTGCTCTTCCTACACAGTGAAGAGCGCCCACTGGTTTCTCCCCTTGGGAAAGCCCTCAGGAAGCTGTGCCAACCTCCAGGAGAGCTATGGTGACCGTTCCCCTGCCCACATCTCCCCAGTGCCTTCCCACTTTGGTTGTCATAGCAACAGAACTATACGAAAATGTCATCTTGCAGGATGGGCCCACACCAATCCCAGGGGCTCCAGGAAAGCTTAGAAACCATTGACCAAAAGCTGGGAGAGTTTTTATCAAGCTCCAGCAAGAGCAGAATTATCAGTCCTTTCTAGGAGGGTCCCTGGTCTAGAGGAGACCCTTGGGTGGCAGATACCTGGTGTCTCAGAAAGATACATGGTAGCTCTGCAGCACAACCAGGAACTGAGTCTGGCTTTTGCATGTCCAGTTCCTGTAGAGGGACTTTGGAGGGCAGAGAGAGATGAAACCCTCTGACACCTGACAGTGTCAACAATAAGATGTCAGTTTCCGTTCAGAGGCAGAAAGATTAAAATCCATGCTAGGTTTCCCCAGCCCCTCCAAGGACATCCTCAGAGGTGCCTCACAATGGAGGCTGCAAGACTGACTCTATCCTACACAGGCATGACTCCACAGACATGCTACATTTGCCTGGCACAATCACAATCTTTTTAGTCAATCCTTTAAAATCTAAAGGTGGCACATAAAAATCCAGATGCCCTGCTTGTCTTGCAAAATCAAAGGGAATTTCAGGAATTGAACTGTGCAGGCAACTGATCTCAACTTCATGGAAAGGGGCAGTGGGAGGTAAATTGTGTGGTGTTGGGTGCATTCATGCTCTCTGTCAGCAACTGACTCATCATTTTCCAATGCCAAAGGGAAACTCACCTGTGAGCCCTTGTCTAGCCAGAGACCCAGCCACCAATTGCTGAAGGCAGAGCTGCCGATCATCAGGAGGAAGAGGGACACCACGAACAGAGAGAGGAGGTACCCTGCAAGAGGAGGGGAGGGGTCCAGAGGGTGACAGAGGAGGGGGCTGCAGTGGGCCCAACCCTGATAGAAAATTCAAAGCCTGCAGGAAGAGGGCCCCCACCCCTGGGAACTGCCTTTCAGGCTGCTGTCACAAGTCTGGGTGTTGTGACCCTGAACCTCAAAGGGGACATGTGTTCCACCTGGTTGGAAAATGGGTCCAAATTGCCAATATATTGAAAAAAAACTACCAATATGCACCTTAATAGAAGCAACACAGTGTTCTTCAAAAACAAACAAAAGCTCAGTCTTGCTGGGCAGAGACAGGGAATAAAACTGGAAGGTATTTTTGCACATCGAGATGGGAACCTTGCACTAAGGCAGGCCATGAGCAGACTGCTGCAGTGCTCAGTGAAAAGGCAGCGAGGTGCGGAAGAACCACGGCTGGTTCATGCTGCTGCTCACTCAATTTCAATAGAGTCTGGCCACTTTAATGGAGATAAAGGGTGATTCCATTTAAAAGGCTGTATTATCAGACTTCAGATGGAAAAAAAAAATAAAAGCATTGATAAATAGCTCTAGCACAAAAGGAGTAATTGTTAAGGAAATCATAAAATGTGAACCCAACAGTTTGAGAAAGGATTTTTTAATGCAAATTAAATCAAGAAACCCGTTGTTTTATATCAAACCTCCAGAAGCCTTAATGTACATGTGATACGTTTTCCAGGTCACGGTTCCTTCCTGAGGGGATTCAGTCTGGACGAGCTGGTGCAGAGGAACTACGGAGACAGACACAAGTCCTGTGGCGCCTGCTGGCGGTGGGCGAGAGGGAGCCCAGTGGGTCAGGCACACCCCTCCTGCAAACCCACACCCCCAACGGGGGCAGTTTTCACCCTTCCTTCCATTGTCCTACACTTTGAAATTCCCAACACACTTTTGCTCCTGTTATTTGATTTGATCCTTATCACAGCCCTGTAAGGCAGGTGGCTTTCAGTATTTCCAGCAATATTAATGAAGCAACTACTATGTGCTCAGCCCTGGGATACAGGGGTTGTTTGGGTCTAGTTCTCCAGAAGTAGTTCCTAAGAGGGGGGTATGAATGCACGCAGCTTATTCAGGAGCTGTAGGGCGTGGGAAAGGGAACAATAGAAGGCATCTCATCAAGCCAGCGGGCCCTGTGGGCAACTGGAACTTAATCCTATGTAGAGAAGTGTTGGAGCCAGTGTGGAACACACACGTCACAGGTGGATAGAGGATATTTCTACAAATCCCATTGGCCCCTGGGTGAGGGCTCCTCCCAGTGGGGCTTAATTCCCCAGCTCTTCTAGCTTGACCTGAGGCTGGCAGCTTGCAGAGAGAGCCCCCAGGCAAGAGAATACAGCTGGGAGTCCGGCTTCAGGCACTGAAGTGCTAAAGGCACCCACAGCAACTACTGAAGGGTTAACAAGAAAGAGGTGGTTCCTGTCTTCTCAGAGCTCATGCCTTGCAGAATAAACCCAGGGCATCCTCCTCGGTCAGCCGCTGTCTAGACTCCCGATCGCCTCCATGGGGCTATTCCAAGTCCTCTCCACGTTCCAAAGGGAGGGGAAAATGACTGTCAAGTTCTCATGGAAAACACATCCAGAAGTCCAGGGATGCTGGCTCAAGAAGCTCCCAACAGTCAGAACTGAGTACTTGTCTCCTTCCTCTCCTTCACAGACAAGCATGAAAATGTCAGCTCCAGAGCAGAATCCTAAACTGTACATGGCTATTATAAACAGAGATAAATGGAGCTAGACCCAGGGGTGCCCCTGCGCGTGCATGGGCTCTCTGCACCTTGCTCCAAGAGGAATAACCGTCACACCTCAAAGGTGCCATGAATAGAGCTACGATTATACCCTCTGCCTGGGAACCTTTGTGCTTCTTTGAAAGTGCTCAGCCTGACTTCCTCTCATTGTATCTCACTCTGGACCTGCAAGATGAGGGAGATGCCTCAGTGGGTCCCCAGAGCCTAATGAAAGGCATTGTGGAGCACAAAGGGAACTAGTCAAATCCCACTGTAGCCCACCAGCCCAGCCTGGAGTGCTGATGATGCTCTTCACCTTGCTGTGCTCTAGAAAATGCCCTGATGCCAGGCGTGGTAGGCACAGCCGCCTTTAACTGGCTCCCTTCCTATAGCTTTCAGAGCAGGTGATTTCACACGCTCAATATCCCCTCCAGAGAAGTGGGGTGAGGAGAAAAAGAGGAGCAGGGTCTACTTTCTCCACAGGACTTCACATCCTAGGCAGCCTGGAGCTTTCCTGGGAAGGCGTGGAAGAGAGGGTGGGTACCTCACTTCAGCCTTGGCCGCCTCCAGAGCGATAAAAATATGTTGTCTTTCCAAACGTGCATGCATTTGTCACAAGCACCATTAATGGTGCCAAATTTCATCGATTCAAAGACTCACAATTTTTTTTTTCACATTTTAACATCTCTGAAATCAGGATGTGCCTTCCATTCGGTAGTATGCCATATCATCTAATTGGCAGAGATTTTTCTTTCTAAGTGGTACATAAAACGATGGTGATCTTAAAATGGATGATATCTTAAATTTGACGAAATACACTGAGGTTTTTTTTTTTTTTTCAGCTACACATTATTGAGGAATAGAGCTCTAACTTGGAAAGCCACCAATGGCACTTTGAGGAAAGAGACAGTGGATCTGGATCCCTGCCCTCTCTGTGCCCAGCCCTGGGGAAGGGCATAGAATAGGTGCTCAACAAGGGTTGAACAGATATAGGGGTGGAAGGGAACAGTGTGTGGGGAGGAGAAGAGGGAGCTTGACGAGGCTGACCCACACCAGGCTTATCTTATCTCCCACATCTCTTCTCTCTGCCTTCCTGGAATTCCTTCCTGCCCTCAGCCTCAAAATCCTCCCCCTTCCCCACCTTCTCACCACAGTGCCCCCCAGAAAACTTCTACATATCTTCGAAGGACTAGTCCCAAGGTTGCCACCTCTGTGAGGCCCTCCCTGACTTGTTATGCCCACTCCAACTTCCCATTACCCTTATCCCAGTTTCCCATGATTATCCCCTTGCGTGTGTTGCCCACCAGACCATAAGATCCCGAGATCTCATATTTTTGTCTATGCAGACAAGGGTGGTGCCCAGCACATAGCAGAATGGTTAGTCCTCCCATCCAGTCTCTTCAGTGCTGCACATTCCTTGCTCAATGCTCCCCATAAAGAGTGTAACACATCTCTCTTGTGTGTGCTTTTGCCTCTAACCAATCTCTGTGCACTGCTTTGACCTCTCTAACTAATAACAGTAATAACAACTGTTGAGAGTTACTATACGTCAGACACTGGGCTAATCATTTTATGTGCAGTTTCTCACGCAATCTTTGCAAGAATTTATGAGGTTGGTTATTATTTCCCCATTTTATGGATTAAGAAACTAAGATTCAGAGTGGACAAGTATCTTGCACCAACTCATAAAACTAGTAAGTGGTTCAGCCAGAGTTTGGACTCAGGCAGTTGAACCCCAAGGCTCACATGACAGTAAGCTGTATTAATTCTAGCTGTCCCCAAAGGACTTAAAATGTGCCTACATTTCTCTATCCAGAATGCTCAACAAATATTTAAGACTATATAACTGAGGGAACGAATAGCAAATACCTGTTATGTCTATAAATTCTGAGTCCATTTCAGGTTCTTTTCCTTCATCTTTCCCATCTCCTGGAGCCAAAACTAGGGTGAGAAATAAAGAGAGATCTGTGTCCGCTCGTGAGCCATGGGCAATAAGAGAGGAATGGTTCGAACTCGGATTGTACCAGCATCTTCATCTCTCTCAGCGGGGCTCTCCTTAAGGGCTTCCACCATTGCTGCATTGTAAATGTGCTCAGGATCCTGGAAACAAAATGACAGTCCTTCTGAAAGCTACAGGACAGGACTTCTTCCAGGCTAGAGATCGAGAGGGAAGGACCTCATCTCTTGCACCCAGGTGTAAAGAGTTACCTTGAATTGCAACCCTCGGAGACTGTGAATCAGTTTTGCATAGCACCCTCTCTCCTCCATTAACTCCTTGTGGGTTCCCTTTTCACAAATCTCTCCATCTTCTAACAAAATGACTTCATCACAAGACTCCAAGAACTGCAAAGATATTAAAATGATCTACAGCGAACTTCTGCCTGGTAAGAGAAGAGCGCCATGCCAAACTTCCTTCCAGTGGCATCCCAATCTCCTCTAGTACAGAGGTTCTCAACCTTGGCACTGTTGGCACTGAGGGCCAGATCATTCTTTGTTGTTGGGGTGGGGACGGGGGCTGTCCTGTGCATTGTAGGATATTTAGCAGCCTCCTCCTTCCCTCTACCCCCTAGATGCCAGTAGCACCCTTTACCCCAGTTGTGATAAGCAAAAATGTCTCTAGCTATTGCCCTCTAAAGGGCAAAATGGCTACTAGTTGAGAAGCACTGATCTAGTGTCTACTGGTGTCTTGAGTACAAAGGGGGCATCTGGTTGTCACTGAAACACTGTTCCCAAAATGAGCTGCCCTGCTAAGAAATCTGATCAGGGGGCAGTTGGGATTTGGAATATGAAATTGACAAGTTACTGTAAGACAAGATCTGGTGGAGACCTAAGCAATGACCTTCCTTTGGTATAATGTTACAAGCCCACCTCATCATCCTCATCTAGCCCAGGAGAAGCAGAACACAGAGCAGTCCCTGGCCACCAGGCCCTACTCCTCCCCTGACCACCACCCCCATACCAAGCCTGAGGAGTTTACACCAGCTTTATCTGTATGATAAAAATATAGCCACATTTCGCCCAAAGCACTTCTGTTTTTCTAATTTGAGTTCCCTTCATTTACATATCACTCCTGAGATCAAGGAGTTCTGCTAATAGGGGTTTCCTCTTATTTGAAATGAGATAGATTTCTCTCCATAGGATCAACCCATCTAAGAGCAGGAAGCCCCTCCTACAGGAGCAAATGTTGTGAGATTTAAGATGGTTCAGCCTAACGAAGCCTTTGCAATACAGGCCAAAGGTCTTCCTCTAAATTCGGGGTCCACTGATTCAAAGCTTGAAAGAAGCAGCTGCGTTTGGTCACTGTACTCCCAATGGGGTGTTGGGGGAATGAGGGTGGTGCCCAAAAGGCCAGACGACAACAGTTCTGACAGCTTGGGCGGCTCCAGCCTTTCTGCCTCCCTTGGACTAATGACTCAGCTCCTTGTCCAGTTTCCCAGATAGCTAAACAGCAACAGCCTAGCTTTTAATGTGCAGTTGAGACACTTTCTGAGAGAACCTTTTTCCTGAAAATAACCTCTCACCTTTATATAGCATCTTCTAGCCTTTCAAAGCCTCATCTTGTTTGGTTCTTATGTCTCAATCTCTCACAAGCCAGTAAAGGAAGTGGCAGCCTTGTGATCAGCCCATTCTCCAGATAGGGAAACTGAGGCACCAGTGTGGGGCATGTGGCAGCCTCACAGCCTTTTCTTCCTCTCTGGGGGCCCACATTCTAGCCCCAGAAGCTCCTGGTGAAGGCCCTCTGGCTAGTGAGCCCCCCAGTTCATGCCAGTGAGATCTGGCGTGATTTGAGCAGCTTTGTGTTGTGTTGTGTCAGCAACAACAACTGACCCCAGGCATTGGGCTGGGCACAGGGGAAGGACACATGAAGCCCATGTCCAGCTTTGTTCTGCAAATTCTCAAAATCTGACCCTGGGATGGTTTTCAGTGGCGACCGCAGGCCTCATTTCATTTGTTTCCTCATGGAAAGGAAGAGCAATCGCCCAGCCCAAGCACCGGGAAGCATCCGGATTGGCTGTGGGCTGGAGAGTAAAAGCAGCGGAGCAATGTTCTGGAAAAGCCCTGGGGCTTCAGTTCAGGGGCTCAGAGCCCCCTCCTCCCCAACAACGGACAGCTGGACTGAAACTCCAGTGCCATCTAGTGGCTGCTTGCATTTTTTAACGCTCAAAGAGAAAATGACCTTGGTGAAAGGTAGGCTCTTTGAAGAGACTTAGGCCTGGGGAAAAGATAGTTCTTGCCTGAGGTCATGCTGCTAGTCATCAAGGTTCAAAGACTGGACCAGGGCTGAGGTGACGACTCCCCCCAGTGAAGATTCCTGCCAAGACAGCTATGACCCACAGTTGTCAGGGGCCAGAAGTCCCCCTCCAGATCCCCAGGACCCCTCAGGAGGACAGCCCTCCCCACTGCAGGGGGTCTCCAGGGCTTGGACCCTCACCGTGCAGAGCTGTGGTTACAACATTTAGCACCCTGGCTGGGCAAGAGCCCATTCCCACTGACCTCATGGGGGTCCGGAAGAAATCCAACCTTCTCTTCCACTCTGATGCCCGGCCAGCAGAGTAACTTGGCACCACACTGGATGCTTCCTGGAGGTGACCGAGCCCACTCAGAGGGAACCCAAAATTCAGATGCTTGGAGCTTATTCTGAGAACTCCAGTCTTCAGCAAAGAGATACAAGCTGGGGGCAAAACTACCGCAATGGGAAGGAATGGTTTTCCTGGGTCTTTAAGAAGTTTCCCCATCTTCCAGCTGGCCCTTCTGGCCACTGATAGAAGATCCTAGAAATGCTGGTTAGAGCACCCTGTAGCCATGGTGATCTCATTTGCTTCCCCTTCCCCAGGTTGACTTACCCTTGCAAAGACCATGAGGTTTGCCTCTTACCCCCAGACCAGGCCCCTGTTGAATATTTTCCCCACAGGTGGCAGGAGAGGAAAGAAGATAGGACTTCTGCTCCAACAGTCCTCTCAGTGCAGGTCAGTCCCGTGGGATCTCTCCTCCAGCAGGAGATGCACACATGTCTATACACACATATACACACACACATACCCCACACCTATAGGGGCTCACCGTAGAGAGAGGAGATGGAGGCAGGGGGAAATCTGGCTTGTCTCAGGGCAGAGGGGAGTCTTGTATTCCTACCAGGCATTCAGAACCCTTGATGAGGCTGACACTGTGAGAACTCTCCCCACCCTACCCAATTCTCAAGCGCATTCAGGGCAAGCTTAGTAACTCCTCAGCAAGATTCATGTTCCTAAGCCTGAGAGAGTGGCTCTGAGAAAGAAAGAGTCTTGCCTTAGCCCAAAAGCCCTGGTCTCTAGCCAAGGGCCACAGAGCCTCTTATCCCCCTCCCAGGCACTCCTGTCCTCAGGCCCACCTAGCCTTGCTGGAGGAAGGGTGGGGCCTGAATTGTTTCCACCTGGCTTCCCACCTCCCCACAGTCAGTGGTCCAGAGCTGGAGGAAGTGGCCCATGTCCACCCCATAGATAGGGGTCATTTGCTTCTGGAGAGCCTATCCTCTGGTGGAAGAAAGACTTGGCCCCGCTTAACCCAAATTTAGAACCAATAGAGGCTATGCCCAGAGAACAGTAGGCAGGGCTATGTGCAAGCTGGGATGGCTGGGGAAAATCATGAATGTAACCTACACACCTTGCTCCCTCCATCCCTGACCCTTTCCAGGTGATGCCAGCCTCGGATGGGACAGGTTTAGGCAGAAGAGGAGACTCTGTGAGCATTAGGTGCCACACCCCATCCTGTGACCTCATGAATCCTGCCAGTCCCAGTCACCTGCAGCTGATGGGTCACCAGGACGATTGTCTTCCCCCTGAGCATCTTCTTAATGCACTCTTCAAAAACATGCTTCCCCACGTGGGCATCCACGGCTGACAGGGGGTCGTCCAGCAGGTAGATTTCGTGGTTTGAGTAGACAGCACGGGCCAGACTGATCCTCTGCCTCTGCCCCCCAGAGAGGTTGAGGCCCCGCTCCCCAATCTGTAGACAGGAGCAATGTTACTGTCCATCTCTGGGCCCCATTCCCACCCTGCAGTCCTCAAGGGAACTAGAGCTTTTTGAAGCTTCTCAGACTCTTCTGCAGACTGATGATTACTACATTCCAGATCCTCCACCCTTTGCAGGGACCCCCTGACTGCACTAGATGCCCTGGGAAGTGGAAGACTCACTTCTGTAGGAAGCCTGGTGGGCAGTGGCAACTAGAGAAAAACTCCAATGTTGAGTGAGGGGGACCTGTCCTTCCAGTGCATAGCCCATAGAGATGGGCTGTGTCTTGACCACTAACACCAAAGGGAATTGTAGCAGAAAGCTCTGGAGAGTGGACAAGTGAACAGGAGGGAGCAGAGCCTGGGAGCAAATGGGCAAGGATGCCTAGATAGCTAGATAGGTTATTCTGTCCAACTGACCCCAAAGTGAGCCCCTATTATGTTCAGCCAGGCATTGGGCTGGGCACAGGGGAAGGACACATGAAGCTGGACAAAAAAGTCCTGTATCTACTGGGAGTTCACATATCAGCAGAAAGTGGAGGCATGATCAGTTATGCACATAATAATGGTACAAAGCAGAATTTAACAATTGCCAACTGAGAAGCATAAGATACGTATTCTGGGGCAAATACTGCAGACTGTGGGATTCAGAAAAGTCTCCTTCAAGGGGGTGGATTTGTGGTTGGAACTTGAAAGGTGGTAACAATAGCAGGAACAGAGGTCTGGAGGCTGGAAGGCAAGTGCACACTTAGGCAGGTAGGCATGAGTAGAAGCAAACCCTGGGGAGGTGGGTCAGGGCTGCAGCAAGATGAATGCCAGGCCAGGATGGCTGTGGTGTCCATTTCCTTGACATAGGCACATTGAGGGCCCTAGCAGAGAAAGGCAATGTATTCCGAGCTTGGGCAAAGTCGAAGACTAAGCAGAGGACACACTGGGATGGGGAAACAGGAAGATGGCATGGTGACCCCCTACCCTGGGTCACCTGAGTTGGCAGGCTCAACCCTGGGCCCAGGCAGCTTTTTGGACAAGCAGCTGGGAGCAATGTTTGGAAGGCAGAGTAAATGAGGCAAGTAGGGGCCCTTGAGACTCCAGCCACAATGCAGCAGCCCTGGACCTCTGTGTTTGGAGGACAGAGCCAGTCCATAAGATATGGAAGCAGCTTTCACCAGAAACCTTCTCTAAGTTAACAGGCAGATTGGGAATGGCTCCAGGAGTGACCACACTGAACCCAACACAGGTAGAGTTGGAACCACATCCATTGTAATATTCCCCCAGAATAAACCCAGATGGAGAATTCAGGATGGTAGAACTTGGCTTTTCCCATACTTCCTAGGACTTTTCTGTCTTCCAGGGCATCCAAATGTGGATGGAACCAGGGCCTGCCAACCTCAGCCCTTTCAACCTGGACAGCCAGGCTGCCATGCTGCTGCAGTGCGGCTGAGCTCCTAACTCTGCTCACCTCAGTCAGGTCTCCATAAGGAAGGCTGCTCAGGTCCTCCTGAAGGGCACAGACTCGAACTGTGTGCTGATACCTGTGGACACAAACGACAGAAGTCAGCATGGTAACAAAAGACCCCATTGCTGGTATCACTGGGCTAAGGCAAGGAGTTGGCCAGTTGCTTCATCTTTGATGTCCTAAGGCAGCTTCCCCTTGACCCCTAGGCATTCCCCACACACCTGATGCAGAGTTGACTCAGGGATGACTCCTTCCCTCACAGGCTTCCTGCCCTGAGGGGAAGATGATTCAACGACATGAAACCTCAGAAGGCAAAACTGGGGGCACCAACTGCTAGCATGGCTCTTGGGAGTCAGAGAAGGGAATGACCAGTGTGAGCTGAGGTCAATGTGGGAGGCTTCGCAGAGGATGCAAGATCGTGAATGGAAGAAATGTGTGTGGATGGAGGGTAACAGCAAGGTGCTGGGATGATTACTAATGATGACCCTGACATCTGCTCCAGGATACTCCTCAATCTACCAGTCACTCCTACCAGGTTGGAAAGACCAGGGCTTTCTCCCCCTGAGACACCTGAGTACGCTGGGCACAGAGGATACTGCCTGAGGAACAGAGGCCAAGCAGGAATAGAATCTCAGTGCCTTGGACCTCCTAGCTTCTTTGTTTTGTCCCTCAGCATTGCCCACTGTCTAGCATTGGGCCAGTCTGTAGGGAGTCTAATGGGCAAGGCCCTAACCAACTCTCAGCAGCCATGTTGCTGGAATCAGCACCTCATCCTGCAAAGGACAGCAAAGCTGGGGGGCCCATGACCTACCGGGCATGACCCCAGTCTCACTCCCTGGGAACTTTGGACAGCAAGGGATCCAGGAAGGTCAATAAGCTAGTGGGTAGGAACTCAAAAATGCTCAGGCCTCAAGAAATGGGAGAGTTTCACACCCTCCTCCCTGGGTTTTCTCTGTGCCTCATTCCCGCTCAGATGGCCTGCACTGTAGATAAACTCTTTCCCAGGGCACCACAGTACACCACGTCACTGCTTCAGGGACTAGTTCCTGCTCTGAATTCCCTGATGTTCCTGGTGTCAGTTCAAGCTCATGGCCTATGCAAGAAGCAGCCAGTTCCCACCACTGGGCCCTAGGTTTCTGTCCCACTTGACAGGCAACCTGCCTCCACAAGGGTTAATTAGTTGACTAATTAATTGATTGATTGATTAGCTGATTGATATCATCAGCATCATCAGCATCATTGGGGTCCTCTCTTCTCAATGCATGACAGTGGGCAAGCCTCACAACTCAGACTTTGCAGGACACAGTCTCCCAATAAAAGGCACCAACAAGAGAGTGAGCAGGCAGATCATGGGTAGCTGCCCTTCAGGTGGCATGCTGACCCCTGGCAGAACTTAATGTTCTGGAACAGAAGCCGGCAGAGCCCTGAGCATCACGCCCATACACTAACTTTAGGAGTGGTATATATATATATATGGTGGTTAAGACTGAGGGCTTTGGCAGGGTAGCAATATTTACATTAGACAAAATAGGCTTTAAAGCAAAGACTGTAACAAGAGACAAAGAAGGATATTACATAATGATAAAGGGATCAATCCGACTAGAGGATATAACAATTGTAAATATCTATGCATCCAACATTGGAGCACCTAAATACATAAAGCAAATATTAATGAATATAAAGAGAGAAGTTGATGGTATTACAATAATAGTAAAAGACTTTAACACCCCATGTACATCAATGGATAGATCATCTAGGCAGAAAATCAATAAGAAAAGTGTCTTTGAATGATGCATTTGACCAGATGGACGTAAGAGATATATAAAGAACATCCCATCCAAAAATAAGAAAATACATTCTTTTCAAGTGCACATGAAACATTCTCCAAAATACATCGCATATTAGGCCACAGAACAATCCTCAATAAATTTAAGAAGATTGAAATCATAGCACGAATCTTTTCTGATCATAACAGTAATAAAACTAGAAATCAATCACAAGAAAAAAAAACTGGGAAAAACACAAACACATGGAGTCTAAACAACATGATATTTAACAACCAATGGGTCAATGAAGCAATCAAAGAAGAAATAAAAAAACATATGGAGACAGACAAAAACACCATGGTTCAGCATCTTTGGGACACAACAAAAGTAGTTCTAACAGGGAAACATATAGTGATACAGGCCTACCTAAGAAACAAGAAAAAGCTGAAATACACAATCTAACCTTACAGTTAAAATAACTAGAAAAAGAAAAGCAAAGCCCAAGAAGAGTAGAAGGAAAAGATAATAAAAATCAAAGAAGAAATAAATGACATAGAGATGAAAACTAATCAGAAAAAAATCAATGAAACCAAGAGTTGGTTCTTTGAAAAGATAAATAAAATTGATAAACACTTAGCCAGATTTGCCAAGTAAAAGAAAGGACCCCCCAAAAAATAAAATCAGAAATGAAAGAGAAGTAACAACTTACACCACAGAAATACAAAAGATTTTAAGAGAATACTATAAAAATTATATGACAACAAACTGGATAACCTAGAAGAAATGGATACTTTTCTAGAAACATACAATCTTCTAAAACTAAATCGGGGAGAAAAAGAAAATTTTGACAGACCAATTACTAGTAACAAAATTAAATCAGTAATAATGATAATAATAATAATAATGACCTACTGAAAAATAAAAGTCCAGGACCGGATAGATTCACAGGTGAATTCTACCAAACATTTAAGAAGAGTTAATACCTATTCTCCTCAAACTATTCTAAAAATAGAAGAGGAGGGAAAGCTTCCAAATACATTCTATGAAGCCAGCAGTACCCTGATATCAAAACTAGACAAAGACACTATAGAAGAAAATAAAACTACAGGCCAATATCCGTGATGAACATAGATGCCCAAATCCTCAGAATATTAGCAAACCCCATTTAACAATACATTAAAAGGATCATTCACCATGATCAAGTGGGATTTATTCTGGGGATGCAAGGATGGTTCAATATTTGCAAATCAATCAACATGGTACATCACATCAACAAAATGAAGTCTAAAAATCATATGATCATTTCATTAGATGCAGAAAAAGCATCTGACAAAATTCAACACTCATTCAAATAAAAAAAAAAGTCCCAACAAACTAGGTTTAGACGGAATATACCTCAACATAATAAAGGCTATATGAAAAACCCATACCTAATATCATACTCAATGGTGGAAAACTGAGAGGTTTTCCTCTAAGATCAGGAATGAGACAAGGATATCCACTTTGCCACTTTTATTTGACATAATACTGGAAGTTCTAGACACAGCAATCAAACAAGAAAATAAATGAGGTATTATTCATATTGGCAGAGAAGAAGTTAAAGTGTCACTATTTGTAGATGACATGATACTACACATTAGAAAATCCTAAAAACCCCGCCAAAAAACTACTAGAAGTAACAAATGAGTTCTGTGAAGTTGCAGGATACAAAATTAATACCCAGAAATTGGTAGCATTTCTATACACTCATAATGAAGTAGCAGAAAGAGAAATTAAGAAAACAGTTCTATTTACAATGGCACCAAAGAAAATAATAAAATACCTAAGAATAAACTTAACCAAGGAGATGAAAGTTCTGTACTCTGAAAACTATAAAACACTGATGAAAGAAACTGAAGGTGACACAAATAAATGGAAAGATATACAGTGCTCATGAACTGGAAGAATTAAAAATGCCCACACTATCCAAAGCAATCTATAGATTCGATGCAATCCCTATCAAAATACCAATAGCATTTTTCACAGAACTAGAACAAATGATACTAAAATTTGTATCTTTGTATACAAAAGACACCAAGTAGCCAAAGCAACCTTGAGAAAGAAAAAAAAAAGCTGGAGGTATCACAAGTCCAGATTTTAAGATATACTACAAAGATATAGTAATCAAAACAGTATGGTATTGGCACAAAAATAGACGCATAGATCAAAGGAACAAAATAGAGAGCTCAGAAATAAACCCATACTTAAATGGTCACTTAATCTATGACAAAGGAAGCAAAAATATACAATGGGAAAAGACAATCTCTTCAATAAACAGTGCTGAGGGGCGCCTGGGTGGCTGTTGGTTAAGCATCTGCTTTCAGCTCAGGTCATGATTCTGGGGTCCTGGGATTGAGCCCTGCATCGGGCTCCCTGCCAGCTGGGAGTCTGATTCTCCCTCTGCTTCTCAGCCCACTCATGCTCTCTCTCTCTCACTCACTCTCTCAAATAAATAAATAAAATCTTTTTTAAAAAAATGGTACTGAGAAAACTGGACAGCTATGTGCAAAAGAATGAAACTGGGCCAATTTATAATACCATACACAAAAATAAACTCCAAATGGATTAGACCTAAATGTGAGAACTAAGGCCATAAAAATCCTAGAAGACAACATAGGCAGTAATTTCTCTGATAAGGCAAGAGAAACAAAAGCAAAAATAAATTATTGGGACTACATCAAAATAAAAAACTTTAGGGGCCACCTAGATGGCTCAGTCAGTCAAGCGTCCAACCCTTGATCTCAGCTCAGGTCTTGATCTCAGGGCCATGAATTCAGACCCACCAATAAACAAACAAACAAACAAACAAATAACTTTTGCACAGCAAAGGAAACCATCAACAAAACAAAAGGCAACCTACTGAATGGGAGAAGATATCTGCAAACGACACATCCAATAAAGGGCTAATATCCAAAATATATAAAGAATTTACACAGCTTAATACCAAAAAAAAAAAATCTGATTAAAAAATAGGCAGAGGGGCGCCTGGGTGGCTCAGTTGGTTAAGCAACTGCCTTCGGCTCAGGTCATGATCCTGGAGTCCCGGGATCGAGTCCCACATTGGGCTCCCTGCTCAGCGAGGAACCTGCTTCTCCCTCTGGCCCTCACCCCTCTCGTATACTCTCTCTCTCATTCTCGCTCTCTCAATAAATCTTTAAAAAAAATAAATAAAAATAAAAAATAGACAGAGGACCTGAATAGATATTTTTCTAAAAAAGACATACAGATGGCCAAGAGACATATAAAAAGATGCTCAATATCATTACTCATCAGGAAAATCAAAACCATAATGAGATATCACCTTACACCCATCAGAATGGCTAAAATCAAAAAGGCAAGAAATAACAAGTGCTGGAGAGGATATGAATAAAAAGGGACCCTCATACACTGTTGGTAGGAATGTAAATTGGTGCAGCCACTCAGAAAAATAGTATAAAGTTTCCTCAAAAATTAAAAAATAGAAATACCATAGGATCTAGTGATTCCACTATGGGGTATTTACCCATAGAAAACAAAGACACTAATTGGAAAAGATATATGCACACCTATGTTTAATGCAGCATTATTTACAATAGCCAAGATATGGAAGCAACCTAAGTGTCCATTGATGGATGAATGGATAAGGAAAATGTGATGAGTGTGTGCACGTGTGTGTGCACATGCACACACAGTGTGTAATAGAACATTACATGACCTTAAAAAAGGATGAGATCATGCCATTTGCAACATGAATGGGCCTAGAGGATATTATACTAAATGAAATAAGTCAGACTAAGAAAGACAAACACCATATGGTTTTACTTATATATGCAATTTTAAAAAACAAATGAATAAACAAGCAAAAAGCAGAGTCAGACCCATAAATACAGGGAACAAATTGATGGTTGCAGGTGGGGGAAGGGAGTGGGCAAAATGAGTGAAGTGGGGGTGGTGGGAGGTACAGGCTTCCAGTTATAGAATGAATAAGTCATGGGGATGAAAGGTACAACACAGGGTATCTAGTCAATGATATTGTAGTAGAGTTGTATGGTAACTGATGGTAGCTACACTTGGGGTGAGCATGCCATAACATATAGAGAAATTGAATCACTATGTTGTACACCTGAAACTAATGTAACATTGTGTGTCAAATATACTCAAATAAAAAAAACTTTTTTAAAAGACCAGGGGCTTTGGAATCAGAACAATCTGTGTTTGAATCCAGCTGGGTAACCTTGGACAAGTGAATGTACCTCCCTGATCCTCACCCTCCAATCTATAAATTGGGCTAATAACTCTCATTTGAGAAGGGAACAAGAACTCGTATGTAGAGCCATTAGCACAATTCCTGGCACACTGCAAATTCTCCATCCGTGGTGGTTATTATTAATATTATTATCTTTGTCAATCTTTAACTATGAGATGCAGATTGCTCAGCACATCTTCATTCTTTTGCCACCTCTACCCCTCTTCTTAACTTTCTTCCTACACTCCTGCTTCCTGTGGCCTGAGAGCCACCATGGTCACCCTAGAGATGCCACACACAAAGGGTGCCTTGATCTACTCTACCAGACCCAATTCAAGCACCACCTTCTCTTCCTTCTCATGATCTCTGCTGCCTCTGAATAATCCAACAGGACCTCCTGACACTTGGCACATTCCTTCTTGGTGCATAGTTATTTCTGTACATCTCTTACTGCCCTTCCAGATTTGTAACACCTCAGGGGCAAAGATACATCTGAGCTACGCTTCTTTCCCCCATCATTCTGCATGATCCTGCAAATTGCATGTATTTGGTAAATATGTGCCCTGACATTCTGCCTGATAAAGATAGGAATCCTTCCTCCTAGCTGGCTACTACAGAAAGAAAAACCATTCCAGGTGGGGTGAGGAGGAGGCCAGGAAACGCTGAGCAGAGCAGTTCAGCTGGTGCCAAGGAGTCCTGCACTGATCAGACCTTCCTGCCACTCTTGAGCCTCCTGGCAATAGGGTGTCATGGCCAGGGAAGAGGAAGGGAAGTAATAGACCTCTTGCTGGGAACCCACATGCTGGCCAATGTCAGCCAGCAAGGACAGTTTGTGGGTTCAGACAATAAAATATGAAAGTCCAGACTATCACTGGAGAGCTGACAGCCAAATTAAAAAAAAAAACCAAATCCATTGGTCTTTACTTCAGCATCATGGAGCTTGGGGAGGCTTCAGGAGGAGCCAGATGTCAGGAAGCTCCAGTGAGAACAAATGATGTTCTGGCATTCAAGACTCAACCCCTGCCATTTAATAGCCTTGACCTTGAGCAGGTCCACTCCCCTTCTGAGCTTCAGCCTCTTCATCTGTAAAATGGGGATATGATGCCAGGATTTCCCTTAATAGGTGTTTATAGAACTCTAATGAGAGAATGTACATGGCAGCATACTAAATCCAGGAAGGAATCACAGAAAGCTATTATTTTCCAGTGCTTAAAATAATGGTCCAAAGTGTATCCAAAAATTATGACTTGAACTTTGTTTTTCTTCCATTAGATCATTTTCAGTATATTAATGGCAATATATCCTTATAGATCTGATGTCAATTAATAATTTCAGGGGTAATTAATTTGCATACCTGCTGCTCATGATTTCAAGCAGTTTTGGTTACTTGGCCTAAAGCAAAATTCCCAGATATATCTTTCTCCAATCAGACAACATATGCACTGTTAAAGAAAACCTCAGAACATATGCTACTCTGCACTGGGAATGAAGTGCCAATTTCATCCATTTCTCAGAGTGTGATCACAGGTCTGCAGAAAGCGCCTCTCCTGAACTCTTGGGTCAGGAAGAGAAAAACCAACACCCATTTGGATCTGATGAATGTTTAATCAGAATTCATTAAAGAAACCCACTTAGCAAGCATTACAAATGGCATCAGCATCTATAGCAGAAAGTATCAAATACCAAAGTGCCTCATTGTTTCAAAGTTAATATTACCTTTGGTGATCATACTTTTCTCCAAATAGTATGTTTTCTCTCACATTTCCATGAAAGATCCATGCTTGCTGGGAAACATAGGCCACAGTCCCATTGACTGCCACGATCCCTTGCTGTAACTGCATCTGGAGCAAAATATCGGAATACCTTCAGGAGCTAAACCTTACAAACTTCTCTTCAGGGGCCCACTAAACCCTTGCCACCCACTTATTCCATGAACATTAATTATGATGGTGCAAGAGGGTCAACAAGATGTCTTAACCCACACTGCAAAGCACAACCGTATAGTCTAATAGTCGCAAAGTCAAAAATCTATAAGCGGCCAGGCAGGAATGTCACAAAAGAGGCAGTGGTGAGTTCTACTATAGGCTGCAGAGGCTGCATGATACCTCCGTACAACCAGAACAGATACCCTTTGAAAGAACCCATCACAAATGTTCCCTTTTCCTCCAAGTGCACCAGCTGGATCCCACCCTCCTCAGCCAGGCCCCAGGGGCAAGATATAGCCTGCATGGCTGTGAAGGGTGGTCCTGGTATGCCCTGTCTCAAGGAAGCAGACTGTACATTTGGTGCAGGACCTGGTACAAGGACTTGGGCTTGGTGCAGCCAGAATTTCTCATTCTTCAAGAGGAGTGGAAAATCCAGTTTCATGTGGCACATCAAGCAATCCAATTAAAAACTTGCATGGGCTCTAGTGTGTGACCCTGAGTTTATAAGTTCACTTAAGATGATCCCACATGGTGGGCATCTAACAGGTAACAGTAGACACTAGTGATAATACCCTGTTCAAAGCTGTCAGGAGGCAGGATTTGTGAGAGATGGCATGGTGCTCAGGGCTGATGCAGCAGCAGCAGTATGTCACGGACAGGGAAGGAAGATAGCCAAGGTCAAAGGAACCATTTCACTTCAGGAATGGTCCAAAGGACAGAGAACATTAGACTTGGAGAAGAGAAAATGATAATGACAATAATGGTAATAAATATAGCTAAATGAATAGAGTATATGCCAGGCACAGGGTTAAGTACATACAATATGCTGATCACCACGAATGTCCCTGGGAATTACCTTATAACTACTATATACATTATCTTGTGTAATCCTCACCATGATCCTCCCAACCCCCATTTTACAGATGAAGACAACAAGGTTCAGAGAGGCTCAGTTACTTATCCAAGGTTAAACAGTGAGCATGAGGCTGAGACAGGTGGTAAACATAAGCAGTCTGGAGCCCACTCATCGGTCAACCTGCTGCCTCTATCCAAGTGACTACGGTGAGGCATCTAATCTCACCACTGTCACATGGGAGATAGATTCTATTTTCTCTGAGAGATTCCAAAGGAGCAGACCAAAGGGCAGAAGTTAAAAAGAGGTAAACTTTACTTCCATATACATCAAAACTCTCCAAAGAGGGTTGCTGGAGATATCTGAGCAGAGGTTGGCTCAGCTCTTAGGGGATGCTGTGGAGAGACTCCTGTTATTAAGTAAAGAATTGGGATGGGTCACCTGTAACACACCTGCTGACTCTAGGGTTATGACAGAGATACACACACAGAATCCTAGAGAATAAGGGACCTCAGGAGCTCACCTAATTCTGCCCCCACCTCCTTCAGACAGGGAAGGAGTTATCACTCTTTCTAGAAATAAGTTAACTGAGGCCAAAAGAAGTCACCCTAGTCTAGCGGGCTCTTCTGAGCCAGTGTCCTCATTTTTTCAGAGGTGCCTCCTCTCCCTACTACAGGCATCCAAACTTCTCTTTAGGAACAGCAGGGTGGGAAGAAAGAGGACTTAATATTCATTCATTTGGGATGAGAAACCATATCAATTTAGAGCCCTGTGAATACAGTAAATGGCTTGGCTATTTTGCTGGGGTCACGGAGCTAGAAGTAGCAAAGGACAAAAAAAACCTGGGCTCTTCCCTCTTTCTACCACAAGGTCTGCAGAGAAGTTGAGGGCACATTGCTGTTTTAGTTGATGCATGCATTCAACCACTCCATCAAAGAAGCTATGACTGAGCCAGTTGGTCTGGGAAGACACTGGAGATATGGAGATGGACATGGGGAAAAACACATCTAGAGACATGGTGAGTCATAGGTTCCTTGGCCCTTCCCTGCCAAGCCACCTTGCTGGCCTTTCTAATCAGGGGGGCCCAAGTCATGGGAAACACCATGTACTTAATGACTTGTCTCAAGGAAACAGTCATTATTTAACACATGTCCTTAGGAGGTAAACCCAAGGGTATATGAAAAGCTCAGCACCACCTGGAAAAGGGGCATGGAGCTACTGAGCACATTAACCTCCTATAAATCACTATTAACTGTGTGCACAGTGTCCAATGCCGTCGAGCCCAGCTGCTGGGTCCCCTGTTCTCAAAGGGCCCCAGACATGGCAGGTGGGGACCATTTGACTGTCATGTCAGTGCTCCATCTTCGCAGCTTACCTGTCCTAGGAGAGCCGCAATGAGGGAACTCTTTCCACTTCCAACATTGCCGCATATTCCCAAGACCTTCCCCTACCAGAGAAACAGAAAAAAAGACACAATCATTCCACCAGTTCTTAGAGGGTCTTGGGCCAAAGGTGTTGCCCACAAACTGTGCTGGCCAGGCCAGGTGGTGACCAAGGGGTCACTGCTGGTTCTAAGAGGTGGCAGCTACAGTCTCACACCCCAGACCTGAAACACAGCTTGGGAGGAGGCAGGAACCTAAGTCTTAATTAAGTGCTTTCCTTGGCACAGCACAGCAGAGTGCCCAGAGGACTTCCAGAAATCATGTACAAGCACTGAGTCGAAACAGCCTTGTGCTGGTCTGGGACACACAGGCCCTGGACATGAGGATTGTCCCATGCCCACACTCCAGTCTAATAGAAGTTAAAAGCTGTACAACCCAGGGGGACAAAGGTAGCCTTTGAAATACAGAAAACCTAGTGTTTTCCAAAAGTCATTTTCAAAGTATCCTTCCACCATACCAAAGCGTAATCTGAAATTGCTGAGCAGTTATGCTATTCCCACACATGGGATTCATGGATTATTCTACAGCTACAGATCTATTAATTCAACCACAAATCATTGTAAGAGACTGCTATGTGCCAGATGCTCTTCTGGACACCAGCAATAGCACAATACAGTAATGTACATGACAGACAACAGTTTGGCTCTGCCCACAAGGAGCTTATGTTTTAGTTGGGGGCCACCGACAGTCAAAAAGATAAGTAAGTAAAATATGGGGAATGTCAAGTACATGCCACAGAAACACATAAAGCAGAGAGGAGAGAGGGAGATGAGAGTGGAGGGAAACTTACCGGAAAAGTAAACGTCTTAGCTTGAGTTCTCCCAGAAACAGGCCCTGAATCAAAGCTTTGAGTGAAGGTAGTTTGTTTGGGAGGTACCGTGGGAAGGGGAAGGTGGCCCATCAAGGGTGTACTATTATATCAGCTCCCATGGGAGGCAAGTGAAGTTCAATCCTGCTGGGAAATTCTGGGAAACTGAGGATTGTTCTATGTCCCCAATGGCTGAGGGAGTTGGGGATAAATAGCCAATAGTCAGTGCTTGAGAGTGGCTCCCTTGACTGTGGATGTCCTGCTGTTTTGTGGGAGGTGGGGAGGGCCCTCAGGCATAGACAGAGATCCAGCAGTTGGAAGATGGCCAGGGCACATGGATGGCTCACTGACAGTATCTGCTACAGGCACCATTTGAGTAAGACCTGAAGGAGGTAAAGGAGTGAGCCATATAGATATCTGGGGGGAAACAACTGCAGGCAGAGCAAGAGTCCATTATGGAAACTTTTGGGCAAACATGTGCCCACTCTTGTGTTCAAGCGAATACTGTAATGCTGCAATTGGAACATCTTAAGAGCATTCTCATTAAGACTTGCTCTCTGTGATCCCTTAGAGAAAAGATGCCCATCATAGAGCTAAATATGTCTCCCTTCCCACCTGAGATAGACCAGAAGGGTCCTGTCTGCCACCCTCAGCATGTAAAGATTGCTTCTTGTCATCATGAATTTCATTGACAAGTCTTTATGGAACACCAGGCATCATGGTAGGCACTGGGGATAAAGTAGTAATCAAGACAGATGTGATCGCTGCCTTATGCAGCTCACATTGTCATTGAAGCTGAAAGTAAGTGAAGCTGATCCATTTTAATTCCACTAAAAGGACTTCAAAGAACTGGGACATTACAAAGAGTTTGGGATAAAGAGACCATAAGGATGTATCCAGCTTCTAGGCATTTGGCTTTCTTTTGAGTTCTACCCACCATCTGGGGCCAAGTCTGAGCCTTCTAGATTCATCCTTGTCTTCAGGAGAAAATTCATGAGGCCTGCACCCTTGGTGTTTCCAATTATTCATTTGTTCATTCAGAAAAGTGTTGGGAGCCTACTCTGTGCCAGGCACTTGTTTTGGTGCAAGGTCATAACTGTGTACAAGACAGACACATGCCTTAACCTCAAGGAGGCTATACTCCAGTGGAATCCTGTAACTAAATTTGGGAAAATATGGGATAGGGGCAAGATGACGGAGGTGTAGGAGACCTGGATTTCGTCTGGTCCCAGGAATTCAGCTCGATAGGGATCAAACCATTCTGAACACCTAAGAACTCAACAGGAGATCAAAGAAAAGAATAGCAACAACTCTCTGAACAGAAAGGCGACCACTTTCTGGAAGGTAGGACACGTGGAGATGTGAATGCGAGGCGATTTTTGGGAAGATAGACGGTGGGGGAGGGGGCCTCTGTAGGCCACTTCTGGCAAGTGATAGAGCAGCAGGGCACAAAATCGGAACTTTTAGAAGTTGGCTCCGCTGAGGGACGTCGCAACAGTGGCTAAGCAGGGGGTGGAACCCTCGTTGGGACAGTGTGGTCTCAGGACCCTCAGGGTCACAGAAAGACCAGGGGTGCCTGAGTGCGACAGAGCTCCCACGTATCAGAGTGGGGAAGCCAGCTGCAGAGACAGAGCCAAGGCATGGGCTCTCAGTACAGGATTGCCATAAACCGTGATCCATGGCACAGTTGGGACACTGCTCTTCAGCAGGGACCCAACAAGTGGCAGATCTGGGGAGACTTCCCTTCCTCCCCTGGGAGGAGTGGCATGGGAGTGCACCACAGGGATCTGCTGGGTTTGGAGACTCCACATGGGGTCATGTGCCAGAGACAGAAATGCTCAGTCACAGGCCAGGTGAGCACGGAGTGCTGCCGGAGACTGGGGAGACAGGAGTGATTGACTGCTTTGCTCTGGGGGCTCGCTGAGGAGTGGGACCCCAAGCTCTAAGCTCCTCCGGGGCAGAGACTGGAAGTCCGCCATTTTCACTCTTGTCCTCCAAAGCTGTACAGAAAGCTTGCAGGGAACAAAAACTCCCGAGGCGAAACACTAGCAGATTACTTAACACGAACCCGGCAAAGACATTTCGGAACCACGGCAACAGTCCCCTCCCCCAAAAAAGATCAGCAAGAACAGCCAGCCAAGACCAAGTTTACCGATCAATGACAACAGCAGAACTCCAGCACTAGGGGGATACTGCACATAGAATTCATGGCTTTTTTCCCAGAATTCTTTAGTCTTTCAAATTTAATTTTTGTTTAACTGTGTTTTTTTGAATTTTTCTTTTTCCTTTTTTCAACCAACATCTTATTAATCCCTTTTTAAAAAAAATCTTTTTTATTTTTCATTTTTAGAGTCATATTCTATCCTTTCGTAGTACTTACCCTTATTTTTGGTATATATATGTAAGTTGTTCTCTCTTTAAAATTTTGAAATACAGTTTCTTCTAACAGATCAAAATATACCCTAAATCTCTAGTGTATGCCTTTGTTCTAGTTGCCTGCCTGATTACATTCCCTCCCTTTTTTTTAAATCCTCTTCTTTCTTTTCTCAACCAACTTCTTATCAATTCCTTTTATAAAAACTTTTATAATTTCCATCTTTACAGTCATATTCCATCCCTTCCTCATATTAACCCTTATTTTTGTGCATATATAAGTTTTTATTCTTTAAAATTTTGAGAGGCACTTTATTCTAACAGACCAAATACACCCAAAATCTAGTGTGTGGCACTGATCTATGCACCAGTTTGATCATATTTGATCATATTCTGTTTTCTTCTGTTTTGTTTTTGTTTTCATCTTTATCTTTTTCTTTTTTTTCTTTCTTTCCCTTTCTTTTCCCCTGGTTTCAGGTCTTTTCTGTTTGTTTAGTGTATATTTTCTGGGGACGTTGTTACCCTGTTAACATTTTGTTCTCTCATTCATCTATTCTCCTCTGGACAAAATGACAAGATGGAAAAAAATCACTGCAACAAAAGAACAAGAGGCAATATCGACTGCCAGGGACCTAATCAATATGGACATGAGTAAGATGTCAGAACTAGAGTTCAGGATGATGACTTTAAAGATACTAGCTGGGATTGAAAAAAGCATGCAAGTTATTAAAGAAACCCTTTGTGGAGAAATAAAAGAACTAAAATCTAACCAAGTCGAAATCAAAAAGGCTCTTAATGAGGTGTAATCAAAAATGGGGGCTCTAACTGCTAGGATAAATGAGGCAGAAGAGAGAATCAGTGATATAGAAGACCAAATGATGGAAAATAAAGAAGCTGAGAAAAAGAGAGAGAAACAACTACAGGATCACGAGGGCAGAATTCGAGAGATAAGTGATACCATAAGACAAAACTACATTAGAATAATTGGGATCCCAGAAGAAGAAGAAAGAGAGAGAGGGGCAGAAAGTATATTGGAGCAAATTATAGCAGAGAACTTACCTAATGTGGGGAAGGAAACAGGCATCAAAATCCAGAAGGCACAGAGAACCCCTCTCAAAATCAATAAAAATAGGTCAACACCCCGACATCTAAGAGTAAAACTTTCAAGTCTCAGAGACAAAGAGAAAATCTTGAAAGCAGCCCGGGAGAAGAGATATGTAAACTACAATGGTAGAAACATTAGATTGGCAACAGACTTATCCACAGAGACCTAGAAGGTCAGAAAGGACTGGCATAATATATTCAGAGCACTAAATGAGAAAAGTATGCAGCCAAGAATACGATATCCAGCTAGGCTGTCATTGAAAACAGAAGGAGAGATAAAAACCTTCCAGGACAAACAAAAACTAAAGGAATTTGCAAACACAAAACCAGCCCTACAAGAAATATTGAAAGGGGTCCTCTAAGCAAAGAGAGAGCCTAAAAGCAACATAGACCAGAAAGGAACACAGACAATATACAGTAAGTGTCACCTTACAGACAATACAATGGCACTAAATTCATATCTTTCAATAGTTACCCTGAATGTAAATGGGCTAAAGGCCCCAATCAAAAGACACAAGCTATCAGACTGGATAAAAAAAAAACAAAACCCATCAATACGCTGTCTGCAAGAGATTCATTTTAGACCCAAAGGCACCCTCAGATTGAAAGTGAAGGGGTGGGAAACGATTTACCATGCTAATGGACACCAAAAGAGAGCTGGGGTGGCAATCCTTATATCAGACAAATTAGATTTTAAACCAAAGACTGTAATAGAGGTGA